CTCTCAGTTACCATACCTTCACAAGCAATAGTGGTCGCTAATGACCTAGAATTTGATGCGACCTTAAATAAAAAAGTCATTGATAATCGAAATCTATCATTTCGGTTATTCTAAGGAGTACATCCTTTGAAATCTAAAACTCAGTATTAGGAAAATTACAACTTCTAAACCACACCATCAGAATTTTGAAAAAATTCATAACTTACTTGGTATAAAGTAAAGTCAATATTAGCTTACACTGGCGGTTCGCCGCAAGTAACCTCATTTGATTGATTGGGTCTATAACTCCAGATCATCACAATGTAAGGGAGAACATAACTTCAAAATGATCTTCTCTAACATTGGTTAGAGAAGGTTAGAATTTTCTTAAAAGTTAATGTAATGATTTAAACATCCTAATACCAGAAACTATTGGATCTTAATCAGGAATAATATTTAGAATGTCATTAAAATACTCTCAGTAAAACACATTTTCGTTTGCTTACTCGGAAAGAGTGGCAATTAACTGTCAATGGTTCCGAAAACTTGTTAATACATTTTTATTTTGGCTCTTCTCCTATGAATCCTACTATCATGATTAATATCGTAACTACAGCTGGGAACGGATATTTTGCTCCAACGACTGAATCGATGTTTGTGATTGGATACACCTACTGGTGAACTCTGATATTATGACGCGCATTCAGAAAGTAAGTTTCCGAGGTCGTAAGGAAATAGAAAACAAAATTTTAGGGAAACCGTGTTTGTAGCTGTTACAGCACATGTTCCACTAGCATTGAGACTTTTATCGTAGGGATCAACATTTGTATCCCTATCATTTTGAAATTTTCGCCTGGGATAGGTACCAGTGTTTGACAGCCACCTGCATTTCTGCAACACTGTGATACGCATAATGCTGTGAAGAACCATAATAAAAAAGTACAGAAAAAAGTATAAATATTCAAAATGGCCCGAGCCCAAGCAACCGAGCGGGAAAAATCGCCGCGTTGGAAAGGAAATAGCTCTGCGAAAAACACGTTGACAATTCTGGCCAGGACCTTGAGTACTTCCAAAAACCCCAGAATCGTATACATACGAGACGCAAGAAGGACAGGCAATAGTTCTGAGCCGAGATCGCCAGTGCCAGATTCACCACAAGCCCTCACGCCGTCGACCGTCGGTCGTGCCAGCCATGAGCCAAGAAGGAGCCGCGACACCTCTGCAGGGAGAGATTGGTGCCAATTTAAGGAGCTGACGCCATAAGGAGTGCCTCTCGACTTTCCTTCTTCCTGTCTCTCTCTCTCTCTCTCTCTCTCTCTCTCTCTCTCTCTCTCTTTCTCTCTCTCTCACACCCCTTCAGTTACACGTTAAATTATGCTTTAATGGTGACGGTAAAGGTGTAAATATTAAATCCACATTGCAACGAACTCGCTTGCAATCATTTTCCTCTCACTCTTCCTACCAACTACTACGTTCATTAACGAGAAAGATCTCCTGCGTGAATTACGCTTGGAGCTAGCATTCGCTCAGGATGGACGTCACAATGCCGTTCGATCAGAAATTTGCGACGAGACATTCAGAACAAGCGCCGCGGAATGCTCACAGCGGTTGTTGTCTGCGTGAAAACGATCGGCCATACAAGGCTTGGGTATGAGAACTTCTGCTGCTGATCCTATGGGAAGTGATTGGCCATCCACCCTACAAACGTTGTGTAATATAAATTAAAATTAAACCTTTTTCAATATATTCATATAACGTTAAAGTATTTCACCTATTTATAAACTTATATAAAAATTTGTTAAAAACATTATTGAGGTCCTTATCCAGCGGGTACCCTTAGAACATCCTTTCTACGACTTAACCCTTCGTTCTCATCAATGTCTGACCAATTCCAAAAGCTCCGCGCTCTTATCATAACCCACACCTTAGAGTGAACTCCCTCGCCCACGTCGCAAAAATCCAAGTAGCGACCCAGCCGTCAAGATCCAGACAGGATGCCGCGGCCGGCCGGCCTGCTCGCCTGCCCCCCTCCCCGTCCTCCAGCCAGATGAGAGGGTGCGCCGCGCTGCGTTGCGGGATGCCACTTGTGTCTTGTTAGGCGCAGGGTGGGCGGCGATTTAAATGCCATGTAGGCTCCAGCGGAAAGGCGACGGCCGCCGCCGCCGCCGCCGCCGCCGCCGCCGCCATCGTCAGAGCGCGTCGGTCTCTCTAACAAACACAAATAATTCACGCCTACCCGCCAAGCTTCCCGTAGCAGCGCGGCTGCCCGTTGGTCAGCAGGCCCGCCCACTCCGCCGACCCTTAGGCCACGGCCTACGTTAAGGGACCGCACCGTGCCGGATTTCCTAATACATTGTCTGCAACAGGGCTGCGCATTCCGAGCTCTCTGTCATCCCTTGGGCCATGGCGTACGTGGAGGGGACGCGCCGTGCCGAATTTCCTAACGTATTGATTGGAATAGGGTTGTATATCTCGTGCTCTCTACTAACCCTAAGACCCGATCTCAAAGCAAACGTAAACATAAGCATAACGCATAGACGTAAACATTAACATAAGTGATAGACTGAAGTATTCACAATGTCTAACATAAACGTAAACAAAATAAGAGTTTCTATTGGCTGTGACACATTCTAGTTTACTATTGTTTGGATGTCAGAATCGATTTTGAGGTATCGACTATGTCCATGGCCGATATGGCATTATTTCGTCTGCCGACTTCGCTCCAATTTCGATTCTCAATTTTGAGTTACCGTTCTTTGATTGGTTCATTTCGTATGTCTTACTTAAGCATAATCACAGAAGCTTGAAGCTTGCAAACTTTTAAGTTAACGTCTTTTCTGTTACGCTTATGCGAACGCATTTTGAATGAGTCCGCTTATGGACGTAGTATTAACTTTTATTTTAACGCAATGCTTATGTTTATGTTCGCGTTGTGAATGGGCCTTTAGGGTCCATAGCGAACAGGGAACGCACAGTGCGGGATTTCGTAACACATTGACAAACAGAGCTGCTCATCCCTCGCTCTCCGCCATTTCGTGCTCCGTGGCATAAGAAACTAAGAGACAGGATCTCCTACTATACTGATGGGAATAGAGCTGCACATTTCGTGCTCAATTCCATCACTTATGCTGTGTCCAAGTGAAGGGAACTCGCGTACAGTATTTTCTAATAGGATGAAACATACTTGCGCATTCCGCTCCGTCTATTTGCTCAAAGGCCTCGGACAACGGTAAGGGAACACGCTATGCTAGATTCCCCAAAGCGTATTTACTAGGCTGTCCGGGTGACGCCGCGTCCATGGTGAAGGTGCCGACGTTTCGGTCGCCATTCTGCGACCTTCCTCAGGGCGTAATGCTTGAGCAAGGTCGCAGAATGGCGATCGAAACGTCGGCACCTTCGCCGTGGATGCAGCGTCACCCGGACAGCCAATTAAATACTGACTACGGCCGCGGAAGCCTACGATCTTCCCAAAAACGTGTTTATTGGAGTGTGCTATATCAATTACGGCCTGTGTGTAGGGATGATAAACAGTTAACTGGGCATCGCAACCTGTTTTATTTTGCGTTGATCTCATGTACAAGATGCAGATTTCTTGTTGCCACTGGAAATGTTGCCATTTACTCCCACTGTGAAATATGACCACGAAAATTACGCTGACGATTCACTATGTGTCATCAAAGCGATTCAGTCGAGGTCAATGTCCACCTCGTTGCACGTAATGCGTAAGGGTACATTACGATGTTCTCTCTCTGGCACTGATGGCATACATGTCACGTTTGATATCACTGCGATTTTGACCCCTCGTGTGTGTTTGCATCTACCCACCTGATATGGGCAGATAAAATCTTGCCGCATTAGATATTTTCTACAGTCCTACGATATGATACTAAAGATCACTATGATGTGATAGGACAAATTATATCACGTCTGATTTCCCATATCTGGTGATATCTATGCATCATTGGAAAGGTTATGCGGACACTGCAAATGAAAACGCTGGCTTCTGGACTGTCTAAAATGAACCAAAAGTATTTTATCCTTCGTGTTTTCATAGTAGTGGTAAATATGTTCAAAGATTCAAATTATTAAAATACATTTCTTACTCAGTATTTGTTACTCAGTTACACATTCCCAGTCGATCCGGATAGCCGACATCGCTAAGGCACTAGTATCGGGACGATCTCTGATCGAAGGATCGCGGATTCGAATCCTGCCTCGGGCATTGATGTATTTGTGATCGTCCTTTCACCTCTCACCTGTCATCACTTCATAAAAGAAGGATTAATAATTCCCTTGTCATTGTCCTTAATGGGATGTGCAGTTTAAAAAACAACATTGTCCCAACTTGAATTTCTTCACTGTTTCGGAACATATTTCCGAGCGTAATTGCGTTCAAAAAAGGTGAGAAGGTGGTGATAATTACACAGTTTTACACGTTATTATAAAGTTAAGATTATTTCTTTATAAACCAAAATATATTCATTATCAATTGCATTATTGACTTGCTAAGCTACAAATAGTAAACATTCAATTAATTTGTGAATGAATACACAACAGTTTCTTTAATTAATATGTTTATGACCATAGTTTACATTTTATATTTTTCTTTAACAATCTAATAAAAATATAATGTCATCTAAAATAAATTATATTTTATAATGCCAAATCATGTTGTATTATTTACAAACGGCTATTTAAGCAACGACGAGGTATCATTTTGATCACTTGTCGCTTTATCCAACGTTACAAATAGGAATAGAATATGCAGAACGTGTCAAAAAAAATTCATGATCCCATTTAATAATGATTTGTGGTAGTGTTATAATAGACAATAAAAAAAACTTGTATATTTTTTATATTATGGGCGTATAATAATTTCACTCTATATTGTCGCACATTAATCATTATCGTAGATTAAAGTATTGTTGACTTGTTCATAGAAGATTATAATTTTTTAAACTTCTAATTATATTATGCCTGTACGTGTCGAATGTCGAACTAAAGAACTTCTTTTGTTTCAGCATGGCTGCAACGATGGCATTCTCTGCATTCTCCAGCGTGTGCGTACTTTCGGCTATCCTGCTCAGCTTCTTGATAAAAGGTAAACTTCTTGGATATTAAAAAAAAGGCAAATTCAGGTGTGATAACGAAAATTTATTGATTAATGAAGCCATTATAGCAGAGATGAACCTTACGTTTCGCTTAATAACAAAAATATCAACTTTATTAATAATTTTCACGTAATTTAACGTCTGTGTATAATGTATATAATATTTTCCGTTGCAGAAAATGAAGCAGTAAAATGTTATATATGTAGCTGGAGCCCTCATGACAATAGGAGTGATACATGTACCAAAAACAACTTTATCCCAGAATACACAATGGTACATGATTGCGAGAAGGGATGTGAAGTTGTCAGTATGAGAGATCCCAATGGTAAGAACATTTTTTTTGTTTGGAAAGTAAATTATGTTAACGACATGTAGAGGAAAAACAAATTAATTTCGAGTACTTTATCTATTCAGATTGGTAAAATACGAACTCTACCCGATATTTTAGTGAAGTAAAATAAAAATGAAAAAAAAAACAACATTTTTTGTGAACAATTGCAGTATTTTTCTTGAGATGAAAAGCACACCCATGTAGTACATCCTTGCGAGTACTGATGATTCAAGTCATCGGAAAAAGCGTAATAATCGTCGTGGGTTATTATTTTACCGTGAGATAACATTTCTTGACTCTTGTCGGTGTCCCGCGTGTGCTTGAGAATGCAATAAGCGGCGTTGTACACACATCCGCTTCTTTTTGACGAACGAGTTCGAGGTTTTAGCGAAGTGAGGATTGTGGTTTGGAGTTTGGGAATCTGCGCATGCGCAAGGTCTCTAAAACTCCGAAATACTCGAAATAGTTTGTCAAAAGAAAGCGTGTAAACTGGATCGGGTGTTTGTACGTACAGTCACGCTTCCTCTTGTTCAAGAAGTAAATATTACCTACCTGTGACGATTAGTTTATGACCATTACAAGGTCACATTCTGTTAATGTCGAACTCATCGGCGAGATTCCACAATCGGCCATTCATATCCATTCTGCTGATTGAACAGCGGCGGCAGGTGCCCCAACAGTCTAGAGGTTGCACCTCCATCGAATGACGGAAATATAATTTACCAAAATTCAGAATTAGAATGTATAATAAATATGTAAGAAATTCAAATTAATTAAAACTAAGTTAAATAAAACCTATATTGAAAAATTACTTACGTAATTTTATGGGTAGTGTCCGTGTCAAGTATGTTATACGACCTCCCGCGCACGTGGTTCTGGCTTCAATTTCCACTGGGCACTTTTTTTCATTCTTTTGAATAATGTCTTAAAAATTCTTTTGAATTAATAGGAAAAAATATTTTAAGAAACTTGCCGTGAAAAAAGTAATTCTTAATAATTCAATGGAGAGTTTTTAGATTGCAATCTGTTTCATTCATTTTGATCTATTACTGCTGTCTTCTCAAGCACTGAACTAAGTATGAAGTATTTTTATAAAATATGATTTTTGACGTGATACGATGGTTGAAGAAATGCTACGTTTTTTCAGAATCCCTTGCATAGAATAGGATGCTGTTAACGACTTATATTAAATTTTTAGAAATCAGGAAAGAATTGCTTCTTTCTTATACAAGTATTGTGAGTACCCAAGCTCACCATCTCCTGTCTCCAGAGTAGTGAAAATTCTTCTCCCTATCTCTTTTTTTCTAGCTGGGTGGGTGATAATATCCTTCCTTTATGCGTGGCTGCTTGAGAAAGGCTCTTTTAATTTCATTGTTTCAGTTTATTTCCTTTTTGTTCCCTTTGTATTTCATTATTATTATTATTATTATTATTATTATTATTATTATTATTATTATTATTATTATTATTTATTCAAGGTAGGACCATCTCAGCTCTTAAAACCATGTGATGAGGAAGGATCATGTATCAATGATTTTGGAGATTAGCTATGGAAAGGCCATTATACCATGAAAACATCCTCAGCTTATGTGGGATTCGAAACAGCCATCAATGTAGATCTTGGGTTCTCCTTCCTGAGTTTGCCATATGACCAACTTTAGATTAATAATTGAACCTCTTTTTTCTCCTTTCTTCTTTCCTTTACCTGTATAGATAAAAATATCTAATTCAAATTTATTTCAAGTAATTCCTCCTAAAAACATTTAAGTACACCCATTTATGACAGTAATTTATTTTAAAAGATTTCAAATAATATTTTATTTGAAAGAGAACGAATATCCTAAGGGTGGAAATGCTGACTCTATGAATAATTTTATGTTACAGGTGCAATGGAAATGTTTTATCGGAATTGCTACACAAAAAGTGAGAATGACTTGAAATTTGACCGGAGAAATACTGGTATCAATGAAGAAGAAGTTTATAAGTGCAACTGGAAACTCTGCAATGGAGCAGTCAGTGTGTTCACAAGCCAAAGTGTACTGTTATTGACATTTACTGCTGCCTGGTGCATTCTGTTTTGCGGCCCATGATGTTTACTATTCAATTCTCAGCTCCACTTAATCACATTATTTAAGAACTTTTTGGATGGTTTGACCTCTACTTACATGTATTACATTTTAACTCACTGCCCACTACCTATGTGTTGGATAATATGTAAATAACAGTTAATGTAGATTATTATGAGAATAACAATAGTTTCTGGTGTTTTTTACTTCAATAAATTTCTACATATTTAGCTGCTTTCTGATGAAACATGCAAAATATATTTTGGCTTCCATGTAATTTATGCAGATTATGTAACAGTCAATTGAAAAATGTCATCAAAGTAGCAAGAAATACTTTTTTATTAAACTGTGTATCAAAATATGCAAAATTGTTAGAATCTGTCTTTCAATGAGGGAATGCTGTGGATACATTAACAATAATCTTTTCATGGTAATGGATGAAGGCTGCTTCCTTTAAAGCACAATAATTTTGTCATTGTGTAATAGTCATCATGGAAAATGGTGGATGTACAATACATTGCTATATTCTTGTCAATTTGCAGCCTCAATTCCTTCTAATTTACTTATGAGTATGACATCAATTGTGATATAGTGATACAGACCAAAGCATTCATATTTTTGTAACTTGTATTATCATACAAACCTAGTAATCCTAAATTCATTGACACATTTTTTATTTATTATGTCAGTAGAGGTAAATGTGTTCTATAGCAATATTAATTTAACACATTGTCAAGGCAGAAATTGTAAACTTCTTAAATCAAATTTTGCAGTGCCCAGCATTGTTTAAAAGAAAAGTTTGATGCAGCTTTTCTTTAGGTCCAATGAACAGACAAAAATATTCATCTAAATGTATGGTGCTTCATTGTCAATGTTTTGTGTAAGAAAATAGGGAGTATGAGAGTATACACAGAAGTAAAATATATTACTATATAACTTTTCCTTCAAAAAAACTTAACGGATCCTAAAAAATATAGAAATATCTCTCTATTTTTACTGCAATGCAATTTCATTATTGCAATTTAAAGAAACTAAATATAAATCCAATCAATAATGTAGATAAAATAAATAATTTTTGAAATTTGTTATCCTATTTTGAATAACTACAGTAGATTCTTTTTTCTGAAATAAAAGACAAACTTGTAGTTTTAACTATTGGAATTGATTAGTCCTCATAAAACATTCTTATTCTAATCTAATCATTCTATATTATTTAATTTATTTCTCAAATTAATCTTGTTGATGAGGTTTACTGAAAATTTCAAGAGTATATTCTGTTGTGTTTAGCTTGTAATGAAATACATTTTGTCATGAGATTTCTGTAATATTTATTTTATTTATATATTGTATTACTATTTATTGTAATGTTTTAGATGCAAGTATTGTTTTTTTCTTTTAAAACAAGATTCACGGGATAGAATACTAATAATTCTTGTCATTATACATAATCTAAAAACATTTTTGGGAGTATTGCTCTTGGACAAAATTATACATTTCAATAGATAATATGGGATGTATTGTTATACTATATCTGGAGTTTGAATGTGCTTTTTTTGAATGTAATGCATTTGTCCGACACAAATATATATTTTGTAATATTCTGTTTTGCAGTAATGTTTCATTTTACATGTGTATAAATGAAAAAAATGTAATGTAAACTTTACGTTGTATTAAGTTTTTGTGAGTAGGATAATCTTACATTTCTCATCATGCAGTTGAAGCTTACAAGCATACACAGCAAAATATATACTAAAAACTGTAATACTGCTCTCCATTTATCAGAAGTGCATTTGTATTTCTATTATGTATAAGTTAACAATATTCTTGTCCAGGAGAAGGGAAATGATTGTGCATTACATGATAATGTGTTCCATCAAAATGAAGTCATTGAACATTACAAGATGGAATGATTCACCCACTATTGAAGTAATGGTGTAATTGAGAAAATATTTTCTTCCATTTACACTGATTAAAATGGGTTAGCTTTTTCTAGCATATAATTCTTTCAGATCTGGCAATTTGATCTTAATAACAAATGACTTCCATTAGTAAGATTACAGTTTTTTGGGCCATTACTGAGAATTGGTCATGAATGCAAGTTATAAAGCTATAAACTGTAAATATTTGTTTTCTAAATTTAATTATTTCTGTAAAGATGATTTACCAATAATTTCAGGGAAATATATAACCCTTAGAGGTATTATTTTCCTTAACCCCAAATGGTACCTATTATCTTTCTTTCAAAAGATGCCTCCCTTATCATGAAGATAAAGAACAATGTAAATGAAATATTTATGACAAAATATAACATTGTGATGTTCTCTTAGTTAAGCTGAAATGATTATTTCTTAATCATAATAAAAGTCTTCACGAACGTACCAACATTATGAACCATAAATGAATGTTAGTATCTGTTGCATGTATAGTGAATGTGTTCACTAGATTGTATGTTCAGTTCTAATGACTGAAAGAATGATTTTATGCTATTTAATTTTTCTCATAGATTTGTTAATTAGCATTCTGTGTTATTTTGATATGTTACACTTCCTATAATGAAGAACTAGATGAAAAGAGAACAATGATGTTGCAAAGACTTTGATGAAACCTCGTTTTTATGATGATAAAGGTGCATGAAAGAGTAAGAAATAAAATATCAAACTGAATCACCTCTGAATTCTATTTATTTAATAAGATTAAAATTGATTTGTCCTTCAATGCAAAGAATCAGAGAATCAAATTAGTACAAATGCAAAATAAGATCATAAAATAAATTTATATTTGATAAGTACTAAGTCATTTAACTGTAGATTTGTATTAAATTCATTGTTTCAAATACGCACATTTAATCATTTGTTTACAGAGTTTATTAGCACTAGTACCTAATATTAAAATATGTTCTTTGAAACCAGTATTTGTTTCTATGCAAAGTATTTATGTAGAATCTTATATTCAAATAAAGAATAATTTTGTAAAGTTATTCCTTTTTTATAAAACAATAGACTTACTTGTTCACTCTTCAATCACACAATATTTACTTGTTCACTCTTCAATCACATAGAATATTCGAGGAATGGTGTACTATTTAATAATTAATTTTATTACAAATATTCTTCCTCTTTGTGAAGAATTTTGTTTGCTTTCTTTTCATGATGATTAGAAAGAGCAATTATCTTTGAGAATAAAATTTATAAAATTGAAAATAAAATTGATCGGAACCGACAAGACAGCAACTGACAAAACAATACAGTTCTTGAAAGAGGCCAATCTTTTCTACAAAATTTAGATTTAATAAATAATATATGATTAATTTTAACGTCAATCAGTAAAAAGGCTAAAGGCCTTAGATGCCAAGCCTTCAAACTAACAAAAAACAAAAGTATAACGTAAATAGCACATATTGTTCACTTTTTTATTGTCCAATTTGGAATTTTTTGGTTTATATATTCATCCTTTGTGGTTAATCAGATCTCGCTAACAACATACATAAAATCTACCTATATTTCATTATTAATTGTAATTGTAATTGTAATTGTCATGCAGTTTAAAATACGAGAATCAAATAATAATCTAGAAATAATAATATAAGATTCAATAAAATGATATAATTTGGATGGTTCTCTAGAGAGAATAGTAGAATAATCAGTAACTAATTTGTAATGCTTATCAATATTTTGCTTGCTTCATTAAATATTAAACCATCTCAGTTGCCACCAGTGGTGGACCCAAGGGCCGTGGTGGCCGTGGATCCCCCCAAAAGGCCTAGAGTTTTTGTTTCCTTCCATCCTTTATTTGGCAAAATTGATTTAAATATTTATGTTAGAATTATGTAATTAAAAAAAATATTGTGTTGAATCATATACACACAGTACAAAAATAATATAACAACAAATACTTTTATTATTTAAAATAACTCTATATCCAAATTAGCTGCATCCGCCTCTGGATATCACATCATGTTATCAATCACTTATATTATTGGTGGATAGTTAACAACAAAATCTTCTTAAAACAATTTTAAGCAAATGAAGCCTAAAACGAAAATTGTTACATATGTAATAATAATTATTGTTATTCCTCACATTCCCGACTAAAGATACAATGTGTCCGCCGAAATTTACTCTGGATTCAACCAGCATCTCAAGGACTAGATCTGGAGACTGTCGGTACCTCTATACTTCAATACTTTGCGCAAACTGTGGGATGAGCACAACGTAAATGGATATTGAATTAAAGACTAATGAATTAAGAACTAAAAACGTAGGAACACAGTAATGAGAACGCAGCTTCTATATAGTTTAATAGAAAACTCCACTCATCAGGTTACTTATTACGTATTATGCAACCACCAACGCCTCTGGTACAGACAACACAACATTATTTATGGGAATAGTTCTTTCTAAAAGGCGCGGTGGCACGAAGTCACCTGCATGGCACGTGGTGACCCCGATTTACGGGACCTCTGTATTTATTTTCTGACAACACAGCTCCGAAGAGAGTTGGACCCAATATATACCGGAAAATGTTTAAAAACGTTCATGAAATTAAGATTTTTAAATGGACGGGTGGAAGGCCACACTTACACAACTCGCTTCGTCACTTCCACACTTCGCCCATGTCGCATTCAACACACATTCCAAGGACGCCAAGGAACGCGCTAGACACGCTATACTTGTTGGTTTTTAGATTAAGTGACCACCGCTTGTCAATGCTTTGACACAAACTGGTTAAAATCTTAATTTTTAATATTAACAGAATCAGTTGATTCACCACGAGTTCTAATCCTAGGCTCATGGATTTTAAGGGGGAAAAAACATCACTTAACTTTCACAGTACGTTCAATATGCAAATTGTTTTCATATTTTACCGTAAGTACTTAACGTCATGCAAATAATTTCACATATAATCGATTAATCAGTGCACTTTGGCCTGCAACATCTACATTTTAGTTCAGTTTCTACATGCATTTAACTATGAAGAGTTTCTCAACGGAGTAGTTTTCGATGTGTTCTTACTTGTCACTGAGCATCGAGGAAGAGCTCATTTTGCAATGGCATTGTACGCAGAGCAATCGTACACGTCATCATCTTAGCTAACGTGGCCGCAACATAATAGGAGGCCGCTCATTATGGACGGGAAATTCACGAGCAACCAAATCGTTGGATTGGGCGTGCAGGGCCAGATAATTAGCCTCGTGGTTTAACGTCTTTGGATTTTCTCTGGGGATACTTAAACACCAAGTCTACAGAGTCCCAGTGTGTAATGCAGATACTGTTCTTGCACATCTGCACTTTGCTGTGGTAAGTATACATTTTATTGTGTTACTAAACGTGCAGAAAAATATCGCCGTTCATTCACTGGCATGCAGTTACATGAATGGAGGTCACTTCGAACAAATTAGAACTTAGGTTTTCAAATTCAACTGTGCAGGAACGTTCTGTTGTGCGATCATGTTACGGAAGAAATCAAGAGATTTTTGTAAGGTTGATGGGAATGCTATATTTTCATATGAGCAAAGAGCTTCCCTTCTTGTCTGTACCGGCAACTTAGTTATAGTGGGATTCAACAAATACTATAGTTGTCTCATTTGCCTTTTTGTTAATATAATTTGTGTGTTGTTTGTTGTTTCTTGTTAAGTTATTAGCTGTTTCGTCTCCACCAATCCAACAGTTTGAAGGTATTTACTGGAAATATATTTGTTTTCCATTTTCACGGTCACAAAATGATTAAAATCATTAGAAAATTCCAAATTCAAAAACTCGTAAACTAATGGAATTGTATGCAACTATAGTTTGTTTGATCGTTTTGTATGTCAGATAAAATAATAACAGACAGAAATACAATGTATACTCAGTAACAGAAAGTTTCATTAATTCCTTACTGATTCGTATTATCCATAATGTTCATTTTAATTTATTCTCTCATCTTTTAATAATATTTTTTCTTTTCCCATCTATAGAAAACTATGACTGTTGTAATACATTTCCTTTTAGTTCTAATTAAAATTATGTTATACTTTCTTTTTGAAACGTTGAGGTCACGGGAGCAACAGTGGATCGCGGATTTTCGCTGAATAAGAAACTGTAAAGAAGGTCGTTTATAAAGTGGCCGTGAGTATATTCCTTTATCTGTCACTCGCACTTTCCCTGCACACTGTGAGTTACGTCTAAAAGATTGTAGTTGTGCTTGCAATATCCGAAAAATTTTCAGCGCCCAAAAATAAAAATGTCTTAATGATTTCAAAGATTTTTGACATTTTAAATAAAAAGAGAAGGGAGATTTTTGCGGAGGTATTGTCAACGTAAACAGTTCTGAACATATGTTATAAAAACATGAGAGCATCGCGCAAAGTGCGTAACAAAACTACAATTACACTTTTTTTCGCCTAGTCAGGTACATTCGGTGTAGGCGCAATAAAACTTCAATTATCCGATTGATACAATGAGAGGGCCGATTTGGATATGAGAAAATCGAAAGGTTGCTAAAACTTATAAATTAAGAAAAAAACAACAAACATACAAAAACTTACTTTTTATTCAGAAAATTTTGTTTAACAAAAATGAGGAAGATACTGAAAACTGTAAATATTGAAAGAGGTACATAAAAATAAACACAAACTAATTACTTCGGTTAATCAATTGTCGCTTAAAACAACGTTGAAAAAGGACCAATGATTTCGTTTTCATAACTATTTTTCATCGAAAATTTGCTTAAAGAACTGGTTTTTTCTCTTTTATAATATTCAAGTCATATTTCACTTCTTTCTTCAGAGGACCGAAAAATTGAGAAAATGTGAAAAAAAATGACTTTTAGGGAATAGATGGCAGCTGGGAAGAGAGTGGGACAAAACTGAAAACCTATCAAAGCCTAAAGGGTTTAGAATACCAACTGGTACCAGAAAGACGTCCCAGTAAGGAAGGTTTGCTCGAGAAGTAATTTTAATAACACACGAAGGAATGCAGATATTATTTAAAATTGCAGACAATTTAAAAAATATTTGAGAAACAATTAAGAGAGAATAAAGAATCGATTTGTTGCAAAACTCTGCTGTGACTTGCAAGATATCTGCCTCAAAGATGCTGCGTCTAAGTCTGGATTGCAGAATGCAGAAACATAATACTCTTGGATGTGTAAATATTTCAAATTGTCACCTTTTTATCTTTTCCCGCGATTGCCTATTATTGCCAGATCGTACTATAATTAAGAAAAGTTCCATAATTTTCAACTCTTTCCACAGATGTACCAGAGAACCAAAATTGTATCATATTATTTGGTAGGAATATTACTAAACGTTAATACGTAAAACATGAATTATGTTATTTTTAATAAATTATTTTCAATAAAATAGAACTTGCGAAAACTTACATAATTTTAATATTAAGTCAAGAACAATGGAAAACTCAACGCAATTTCTTTAACACTTCTAACAATTCTGTTACACGTTCCCGAAATTTTAAATTGCCTATTAGTGTGCAATATCTAAAATGTTGCCGATCGATGCTGTAGTTTATGCCTTAGAGTTTGCTTCCGTTAAAAAGTATTCAAGCTCATGGTAGTATTTTCTACGATGCGGTACCTACACAACATTCTATTTGAATTTGGGCAAAGTCGTAGCACAACATAAGAAATTTCAAAACATAGCACGTTCTAGGCAGCGACGATTCTAGTTAATCAGTCAAGCGAACAGGGTGCTGCGTGACTTACGTGTCTGCACTTAAAGCGTAGTGCAGATACGACAGTCACGCCTGCTCGCTTGACTGAGAATTTCGGGTTTCCAGGTACGTCAATGGATTTGGTCATTAGCCCCGTAAGGGTGATGCATGTTTTACTCTTCTATAGGTGGCGGTATCCCCCGCTAGATGGCCCACATCTGGCATTGGCCCACACGTCGGCTAGAGGAGCTTTCCACCACCGGGTATCTACCATCAACAGGGCACAGCCCCATCCGGAGCAAGCTCTAAGCTCCCAACACGTGTGGTAGTGTAGTGCATGTTAGTTAATTCTCCGACTAACATGTGTGAGAGTGTAGGACATGTAAGTGTAAGTGCATGTGGGTGCAAGTAAGAAATAAGAATATGCAAGGTAGAGGACGAAAACATTGCGTGTGGTTCGCCTCCCGTTTGTTAAAGTACTACAACAACCTCGAATGGTGCGGAGAAACCAAGAAAAACTACCAATCAGATCAGACAACGGCTGAATTCGACCGTCGAAAATCCTGTCACCGTGGAGACTCAAACCCTAGGACCTCCGGTCAGAGGCAATGCAGAGACATCAATCCGCGCCGTCATTCTCACGAAGGCGCCGCATCAATTGACGCCCAGAGCCACCTAAGCCGCTGCTTAATTCGCTCCCGAAACATAAGATGAAACTAATCCTGGGGTAAATACGTCCAATCGAAAATTTCTGTACGTTAAAGTTGGAATCGGGTTCAAGGCAAGCGCAAAGTCTGTCGATCGCACCAAGTATTTGAATGGCGGTACCATCCCGGAAAAGTGAGCTTCTTCCCGTAAGAATGCAGCAGAAAAGTAAAGAGCTCAACAGATATTCTGACTCATCACATAGGATATTGGCGTGTGACGCTGTAAGACATTTATTTTTATTATATTATTCTGAAATATATAATTTAAATATATTTCAGAGACTTTATTTTAAGGAAATAAACATATTAGAATTAACATTTTTTTCTAACGATAGTCCAACAAAAGAACAATAACACTCATTCAAACATTAAACCTTCTTAAGGGGAGGGACAGCTCTTCAACAGGATTCTGTTTAGGTGGGTAAAGTATGCTGAGTAGTTTTTAATAGTTCGCTAACGAATAAGCTTTTCAGATCAGATTAATCACGGAAACTACACTACTACACGAATACTAATTTTTGTAGTCAAAGCAAAACATTAAAGAGAAAAAAAAACCCCTCAATATTGTCATTGCCAGTGGACATGTCGTCCCCTGAGAGTCCGCGTACCTGCCAAACGCCAGTGTAGGAAGGGTTGCCTGCCAATCAGGGGTGCTGTGTTTAAAATGTCACTTGTCTAACTTCGTGACATGAAATTTTCAATCATATCCTGCATGTTTCCATCACTTTAGCAAACTTGACCATCTTTGCTTTCTTTACGTATCTATCAGTTTATAAAATCTATTCTTACATATTCTACGTATTCATGGATATATGTAAGTGGATGTATGTGTTCCACAACAACGTTTGGAGCATTGGAACGATTGCTCTCAGATTTTACCCGTACACTTTGAGAAGCCGAGAAAACATGTGGATGTTATAAATCCCAAAATATTACCCCCAATATTATACTATAAAATTTTTCCATAAATAGGTTTTAGCAGGACCTATGTGGCGTTGTTTGGGCAACACGGGGCGGGCCTGGCGGGGGCGGACGGAGAGGGCGAGGGGAGCGGCGCGGGCGGTGCTACTTAACAGATGATTGAGAAAATAAATACCTGGGTAAAGCCAGGAAACCAGCTGGTATTACGTTCCCCGCCGCGCTTTTCCAAAAGAAAGCGCCAAGCCAGAGCCCGCAGATCAAAAAAATGTCCGGTCGCTGATTGGTCCGACCGCACGTAGAAGTATCCGCCAGGGGCGCCCATAAAAACAAGCAGCCTCCAGCAGTAGATCCACGGAGACCCCTTATTTCAGACAAACGTTCTGCTCCCACCCTCCAATACGTAAACAAAATTCATTTAACCATAGAACAGAAGTAACTTATATCTGTTAATTTAAGTTTTTGGATAATTGTTTTAAGTAAATTGTTGTTTTTTTTTAAATTGGTTTGAATGAAAAAAATTGAAATCCAATGAAGTCGGAGCGTGGAGAAAGTTGCCCCGGCTGCTCCCCTTCTGGACGCCCCAGGTGACCGCCGAGCCTTTCGCAAGTCTCTGATAAAAACGGTGAATACCGACGCTGAAACTAATAGGGGTTCAGAACGATCCCGCTTGGCCAAGACAACTCACTTCTTTTTGGATAAGGCCCTCGACTATGCTCGTTTCTTAGGCACTGACTTTGCGTTCTCTTCAGAATGGCTCTCTCCTGGTTAACAGCTTCGACCCGGCGATGCTATGCAGTTCAGGCGAGGTCAGCGCCTCGACGCAACACGCCATTGCCACCGTTGCCCCTTATCAGCCGGGTCGTGGTCCTGCTGCTAAACGCATTTTGTATTTCGATTTTACACTAGCAGCGCCGTATACAATTGTTTGTTTGGCTTTCTTTTGAAAATAAATTGTTTCTAATCACGTCTCTTCAGAGTACTTATCAGACACAACTGCTAGTATACCAAGATTAAAAACTACGTCAACCCTTATTTTAAAAAATGGGGGTCTTCACATGCGTACCTTTTCCCGAGAAGTTAAATATGTCACAAAAAATTGAGAGCCAACGTATTTTTATAGGTAAGAAATAAATAAATTCGAGGCTAATTTAAGATTCTTTTTTGAAAATTCGTTAATGTAAAGGGTAAGAACTTAAAAGCTATTTTGGGGGGAAGGTTTATTTACCAGGCCCTAAAACTCCTTAACTAGAATGCAAAAATTGATAAAACCGAAAGAAATGTTAGTGAATTGAATTATTGGCTTAAGATCTAGATTAATCGCTTAGCGATCATCAGAGCTGAAAAATTGTATTCAAAATTGTTCGTTGGATTTTTTAAATTAGGAACTATTATAGTATTGATTAGTTTATATGAAGGTATCAACGTCACCAGAAACATTAAAGAACGAATTAACATATTATAAATAAATTCACTGAGAGTCAGCGATGTATCCAAGTGCAAAATTTTGAAAAAAAAAATAAGTCGATGGAAGCACACGTGTGTTACATGTGTGCTTCCATCGACTTCCAATCTATATAAACATTTTTCTGCAAAGATGGCAATTAATCCTGTAGCTTACAAATATCCAGACCGTCAATTTCTTCTGACGGCAGATCAGGAATACGTACAATGGTATCCTCGTGAAATCCTCTGTGCAAATAAATTACACAGAATTGACTGCAATTACATCACTAGCAGCCACCCTATCATCAATATTGGCATGCAAAGGATGTGTTGCTTTGAACGCACTGTGTAAACTGTACGTAGTCATAGGTATATCAGAGACTGGTGTTTTTGCCTTTGGTTTTCAGACGGCGATCCATAATCCTTTGGTAGTGTCAATTACAGTTAACTCCTCAAATGTTGATATTTCCTGTTCATGTACTTGAGTACTTATTACTCATGTACATATATACATGTGTGCAAACGGTATACCCAAATTACACTTATGAATGTCCCACAATGCCTTCGTTTAATTGTCGGTTCATCGCAGAGAACACAAGAACTCGTGCAATGTCAAAATGTAGCTATAATCAATTATTTTTTAAACAGAACTTTCGAATATAACCAAGGACGAGAATAAAATCAGGCATAAATTCATGGTTCATGTACAACTGATGATGAGAAGAGGAAAGGGTGTCGCAGATTGGTAGAGCTTCTACTAAGAAAACGTTTTCTTTGAGCTCTTGCTTGTAAGTTAATACTTACCTTACTGTGACGCATTATGATGATTTGATTCTTTGATTCATTTCATATTTTATGAAAGTGTATGAAGAATTAGAAAATTTTATGTTATTCTCAAAATCTTAATTGCCAAGTGACGAGTTAGTTTCTGTACCGTTTGCATCCATTGATTAAAATTACGAGTTCACTTATAAGTTTAATTTTTAAAACTAAACTTTTCTATCGCATCACTGTAAGGAATTAGGAATCTTATCTAAAATATGAGTCTAAAAATAACTTAAAAATTATAATCTTACAGAATTGTAATAGCGAATTTATTTTCTGAATAAATTATCAGAACGGTTTCATTTTCTAAATAATTTTATATTAGATGAAAAATCGATTCTTCGTCGCAAAATATGATCCTTGTTGCTAAAAACCTCTGTTACATTACTTTTTTGTTTCATTATCTCGATCCAACATTAATAAATAAAGTAAATATATTATTTTTTTCTCAGGTCATCTTGTGCGCTAAATATATATTTGTTGGTGTTTTTGGAGATTAACGCAACGAGCATGGACGCTAAAATATTACTGAGAATTGGAGTGCCTTATCTTCTTTCAATGCTGTATTTAGTACAAGGAATTCCTCCAAAACTTCTCTCTGCTCTGAAAAATCACTTCCACGCCAGTTGTTTGTTTATTTTGTCTTCGTCTGATGGTAGTATAGAGTTGAACATGCCCGTACCTGATTTGTTCAAACTCATAACACATACGTCGAAATTGAATGAGCGTATGTTCTCTTTTCAGATTTACGAAATGTTGAAAAACTTCTAAAACTTCAGCGACATCTATTCGATGAAGGAATTGAAACAGCCATCATGAATATCTCTGTCGCAACTACTCACGGCAATTCAATCTTCTGTAGACATGGCAGATTATTATACGTTGTGGATTCGTTGTCTGAAACACTAACCCATTTACAGCGGGTAAGATGTATTCAGAGAAGGGGGTTTATGAAATAAACACACACACGCACTGTAATTGGAGTGTAAGATGCTGCAATATTTTCATAGAACACACTGCTCTCTAATTGTCCTATGCGTGGATCAGAGACGCCCGCTCTTGTAGGAGTTTTGAGACACTTTAATTTCTAATACCCACAAAATTTTATTGCGTTTTATTGAGTATTTGTCCGATTGCTGACGATGCGTCGCATTATACTTACAAAAGTTGTCAGATGAATTAAATAAGTGAGATTAGAATGTAAATAAAATCTATCATTAAGGAAATGGAAATTGAACTTTTTACCAGAAAGGGGCACAGGGATGGGGGCACAAATTTCTCTATAAAATTTGCTTTAATGCATTCCTTGAACTGTGAAATGTAAACTTTCATCTTGAAATCATGCTGCAATAAAATTCGTTTATCGACCTATTTGTAAAGTGATACTTGAAGCCTTCCCTATTATGACGTTTGCGAAATCAGGTGAAGACATCGCTTCCTCTGACGGTCCCTCGATGGCTGCTGTTTCTGGGCCAACGCTCTGAAGAAGTCACTGCCCAGTTAGCCGAAGGTCTTAAGGCCCCTTTTGATAGCGAGTTCTTACTTGCTGAGGTTGAAAATAATGGCTCCGTATCCTTGACTGAAGTATATCGAGTGAACAGTTCTCTCCCCCTTCTGTCGTCACGTTGGGGGTTGTGGGGAGAGCAGACCGGGTTGACAGTCACGGGCACTGGGCATGTCCATTCGCGACGAGCGGATCTCTTCGGCACGACGATTCGTGTGGCAGCAGGACATGTAAGTAAGCATACCTATTCAAATTATATTCTCAACTAATTAATGGTGGATGTAAAATAAAGCGTGATCTACTCTTTTATTCCTCACAGGATCCCCCATACGATTATCTTATAAAACATACCGATGGCAAACGATTGAATATGGAAGGATATTCATCAGAAGTGTGGAAGCAATTGGAAATGCGACTTAATTTCACGTAAGTTGTAAGAAAAAAATAAATGTAAATACTTCAGTTTTTATTTAGATAGATTAAATGATTTCTTCATTTGTAGTTTCTGGTTCAGGGTCATCTTTGTATAAACATTTGATTTTTCATTAAATAATATTCTCATTTTTAGAACTGAATTATATGAAGCAAAGGAAAATGAATGGGGGTCTATTCAGGAGGATGGTACTTGGAGTGGAATGATTGGTATGATTTTAAATAATAAAGTTGATGCAGGTGTAAATTCATTCTTGGTGACCCCTGCAAGAGCATCAGTAATTGACTTCATTACTCCTTTAGTAACTTCAAAGTGAGTTGCAAGAAAATTTTGCCCAAAGTTAAAAAATTAATTTATTCTTTTCCTTTCTCAACATATGTGTGTGTATGCTTTTCAGGGCAGGTGTGTTCATACGAATACCTGGCATTCTGGATTCTAGATGGGGAGTTTTTATTACTTCATTTGACTTTGCTCTTTGGATCACATTAGTTAGTGTAGTGATTTCATTGTCACTGTTTTTATATTGTTTTGGATCAATCTTGAAACATTATAAAAAATTGAATGAGAATTTTGGGTACAACTTCCACAATGTACTTCTATGCATGTGTGGAATTTTTTGTGCTCAAGGTAAGAGGATGTAAACATAAATATGATTATTACAATGTAATTAAATGAATATTTTTAAGTAAATAATGATAGAATTAATCTTTAATAGTAAATATATATTGTAAGATCTTACTAGTCACTTTCTTTCCAATCTTTAATTCTGAAACTTGGTAGTGGGGGGGAGTATAGGCATTTCAACATTTAGCAGCGACTTAAAAAAATCATTATCATTTCCAAGAGTCAGTTATGTAAAAGATAAATATGAATATTGAACATTTATTATTATAGATCTTTAAGGGAGGGAAAAAAGGTAAAATCTGTAAGTTACGTTTCAGGAAGACAACCTGAGCACATTTTCTTGCTGTTGTGAATTTTAATTTCTGGCAGAATAGTTAATAAAACAGGTACCCTATTATAGAAATATATCTAATGACACTATTTGCTTATTCATTTTTAACTTTTATTACTACTTGCAAAATGATTTATAGAAATTAAAATTTTTCCTCATCCCAATCAAAATGTATACTATTTTTGATTTTGAAACTGCTCTCTAGGCTTCTTTTATTCTGGTTAACTTTGTATGCTGAAAATGTTTCTGTATCAAGGTGTTTATTGCTATTTCGTTAATCAAGATTAAGTAATGCAATATCAACTTATCTACCTTTAAAATATCCTTTCAACCTGGTTAAGAATAGCTAGTCTTTAATAATTCAATCATGCATTAATATTCATTTTATCACAAAAATCAATGATTGTATGCATCTGAAGTATTAATAAATGTGCAAGTTTCACGCTATTGAATATACGAGTTCAATATGCTTTATTTTCTACTAGGACATTGGGCTACTCCAAATGAATGGTCATGTCGCATTGTGTTTTGGACAGCATATTTCATTGCTGTTATTGCAGCAGCTGCATACTCTGCAAATTTTATGGCATGTCTTGCAATTAGGAAAGTGTCATTACCGTTTACTTCTTTGGAAGGGCTACTGAGAGATGGTTCGTATGACTTTGGTGTGCTGGCAGAATCAGGATTGTTAACAATTTTCCAGGTATGCGACTTCAATCTCAATTAAATTATTTAGAGGTGGAAACAAAATCAAATGTTTGTAGATAAATTAAATGTGTTAGGATGCCTTAATACTGTTACTATGATTTTTATTTACAATTATCAGTAAATCATTTTTTTGTGACAGAATTCAACAGATGAAATCATGAGAAAAATATACACAAAATTCATTAAACCAAAATTAGATTCCTTGCCAAAAGAGTATGTACAAGGGTTTGAGAAGGTTTGTCATAAATCAAGATATGCACATATGGAAAATTATGATACATACTTGATGTATGCATCATCTTTACCATGTGAAATATTGACATTACCAGAGGCTTCATTTCAACAACACATGGGCTTAATTGTGTCCAAAACTTTACCATACAGAAAGTTATTCAAACACACGTAAGTTTACTAAGAGCATTGCACTTTTTTGAAATGCTAAACATCACAATCATGCCAGACAACAAAGTAGAGTTTATACTACTTATTTTAATTTGAAAATATATTGATTTCTTAGACAGAGAGTACAAAACAAATTGAAGTCCATATTCATGGAGTATGTGAAGTATTTGAAATTCAGAATCTTTCAGTATAATGCAATTTTGTATGGCCTCATTGTTCTAAGTATTCTATTTTCCACAGCCATTTGTTTTAACTGCAATTCTTCATATAATTTGTTCATTTAATAAGGGAATAAACATGCATAGAAATTGAAAAAAAATAACTGACAAATGCGTTTTATTTTTTATATATTGGCTTACAATATCCTTTCCATTTAGGATAAGGAATAAAGCAAATTCAGTCTTTGCAGTGAAATACAATCTCTCTCTCTAAAAACACAGATTGGAAATAGCTTACTTTCTAATCATTATTTTACAAGCATATATTTATTCATTATATTAACATAAATATACAATATAAATATACATCTGCTTAATGGACCTGTTAATATTATTGACTCGACTGAATATTAACTTGTACTATGGTCAGTTTCTTAGCGCTTCATCTTTGGTTTGAGAAAACTGAACAAAACTGTGATGTGCTATAGGTATACACATAACATACACTTCGCTCATAGTTCATAATTTGTACATGGTAACTTCACCTTTCATGTTCCTTCAGCAGAGCATGTTTTATTTTCATCACGTGCCACATTTGTTTTAATAGCCTGAGACACCAATGCACTGTGAAGGGCTTGATTGAAATATGGTATACTTGCTGAAGATAGTGCATGATGTTCAGCATTTGTCACAACCTGGAAAACCTGGGATTTAACAATAAGTTGCATATGAGGAGGTAAAGTCATCACTGTTGCAGCCATTGCATCAAAGAATGATTTTATGGGATGGACTTCATGAATTTCATTGCTAATATCATTGGCAGATTCTTCATCTTCTGTGCTATTTTCTTCTGAAGGAGACTGGTTTGGCTTAAGAGACATGACTTCCAAGGGTTCAGATTTCACAGCACGGGTTTGAAATTCGTGATCTTCAGGCACACCAGAACATGTATTGGTGCGATATCCTGATTCTGTACTGTGTGCAGGAGACACTGTTTTATTATTACCTCCGTTCTCCTGCTTCTTTGAGCGTATTATTAAATTGTGAGAGTCTGTTAAGCTTTCACAACCAACTTTCTCCGTTTCCCCATCTGATGGATAACAGCATGAGAGTTCATGGTCTGGTGTTATCCCTTCAGCATTTCTGAAACTCAAAATTAATTCATATAAATTCCTGACAGATACATCAATAATAATAGAATTTCATCTCAAGAACATCAGTTCAAATCAGTAGTATTTACATTTGAGTTATTACTCTTGTGGAGTAAAATAGAGAAAGCTACTTAGGAAATGAGTGACTATGATATTAAATTACTTTAAAAAAGTTTCAATCCTCTGTAATGAAATTGAGTTTGTTCACAGCCAATAAAGGCCTTTAATTTTTTTTATTAACAAATATTAATGGACTTTGCCATAAAAATATATATATTTTTCCATTATCACAGAACTGTTACTTACTGTCGATTGAATACAAATGGCCATAGAAATGACATAGCATCCTCATACATGAATTTTGATTTCTTATTTGTTCTTTCCCCAGAATTCTTAAAACAGTTCTTCTTAAACTTCACATAGGTATCTCGAAAATACTTCCATCTTTTCTTGCAGAGATCAACTGAAAACAAAACAGAAGAATAGGATCTTATAGGGGTGAAACATTGGGAAATGGCGTCTCACGATGTAGGGAATTTAGAAGAAATTGTATTTATTCAATTTGTATTTTATTTTAATTGTGGGGTTTGTTTCTCTTCAAAATCGGATGTAGCAGAAATTCATGCGATATTGAAATGTCGCAAGGTTGATATACACCTTCAAATTCTGCCACGTCCAGCACCTGAGCCAATCCGAGCTCAACTCCTACCCCTTCTTGCACAACCGCACAATCTCACATGCATAACACACATGCTCACCAACATGTATGGAAGGTGTGAACCTGGACTCATCACCTTTGTACGCAAACCACATATATTATAGCCTGTTAATCGCGCGGAAATCCCTTCCTCCATTGGCATCGGCAGTTCGGCAATTGGAACTCATTACGATATGTACCACAGAATCAGCATATTATAGTATTTTGAAATTATATATGAATATCTATGACAACGTATGACATGTATGTAAACCTTTATTGAATGGTATGTTGGCATACCTGTTGGAAATTGTAAGGAAGGGATAATGTTACTGTATGTAAACATGCAACATGGCTGCATACAAGCAATGTCAGATCCATTTGTGGTTTCTAAGTGCAAATTACCGAAGTGTATGCAAGAATATACATCATGGACACACAGAAAATGGTATATAATAGCTACTTGATGTAATGCAAGCGTGCCGAAACTTAAAAGTGTAGTAAATCGGCACAAACTACAACGAACATAGTACACATATCATGACATTTGTATGTATTGTTTTGAAAGTGAAAGATACTTACCATCTACTAAGAGTTTTTCACTGATTTCAACCCATATTGTTTCTCGTTTATCAGATTCTTTATAATTCACGTGTCTAGGATCATACAAAGCAGGATATTCACTAACTAGCTTAATTAAATGTTCGTCTTGATCCTTTTCAAAATACTGAGATTGACGAGGCATGGTTTGTTCACAGAATATAGCAAATAAAATCGTTGTCGCGTAGGAACTGTAATAAAATACGGAACTATTGTGTGCCTCAAGAAGTCATTGGATCCGCAATACGCGTGAAACGGACGCGTGTATTCTTACACACAGCTCCCACTCTCGGCATAGCTCGTGCTGAGCGTGAGAACTGGTTGGAGCGGTGGGGGAGGGGGATACCCGCGCGCCATTCCCGCATCGAATTGCATGGTCAGTGGCGTTTTCCGCGCGGCTAAAATACACGTGCGCGGACAGATTCACGAAATCGATCGTTTAAAGCTTGGGAGTTGTCGCAGTCGTGGAGCATTCTCACGTTGCGGCCCAACAATTGCACACTTAATTATAACGACTTGGGGAGGGGATCAAATTAATTAAATGCGGAGGCTTTATTGACTATTCGGTAAAATGGGTAATCTTTAAGAGTTCAGGCTTCGCGAACGCGTCGATAAAAACGTTTTGTATAATCTCATGACGCCACCTTCTTGGTGTACAATCAGAATTTAAAAATTACTGTGAATCACATCATCAATTTGATATTTGAAAATAAATTAACTGATCTGGTGGGATAAGGCCCTTGAAATAATACTTCAATTTCGGAATTGTTACCTTGAAAACGAACGTTTCTTATTCACTTTATATATTTTGGATAACAATTCATATTTTGAATTTCAATCAAATTTTGAGTGTAATGTGCATTTTGCAAAGTTTAATTCTTCATAATTGTATTTGTTTTAGTTACTTCTAGTGAAGTGAATGAAGAACAATTTCCTTTCTTTCTTTCTTTTTTTGTTTGTTTTTCAGATCAATACTATCTTCCTGTGTAGGAATTATAAGAATACTAATTTAACACTGACTACTTTGACAATGCATTTAAACTAGAACTTACCTTGAATTTTGTCCACTCTAATGAAACTTGTGAAGATATTTATTGTTTGAACCAATTAACGAGATTCATTAATTTCAAATGGAGGAAATGTTAGAGAGAGAAATTATGATGATTCAAAGATGTCTGGAAAATCTATGATATAATTTAAACTATTTAGAGGTGATACGTTTCATTTTTTTGGTCAAATTTGACCATTTCATTTGTAAAATATTTTATTTTGATAATGAAAATTAATTTTTTGAGTCTTGAAATGAATGTGAGAAACACTACTGAAATATTTTAAATTTTAAAAATGTTGTTTATTTACCTTTTTTTTGTAATAAAAATTTAACACTCTTCTCATGAGAAGTAATTTCTTGCTATTGTTGTAAATGATCAGAAGGTGTATGCTTTGGTTTTTCTATGAAACTACATGGATGGTTCCTAGTTATTAAGAATGTATACATCAAGTAAACAAAATGTGGTTGGTCGATTTATTTTATATTTTCATATATTTTCTTTTCCTCTTTTTAGAAAGTTTGTTTTGGAGGTCTTCATCTTTTACCTAAGTATTTCTATAATTTTCATGCATTAATTATTTTATCGAGATGACAACCCAAGGTTTACTAAAGGTAAGTATAATATGAATGGGTGAAAGCCATAATATATACTCTCTGGCAATAATGGTATAAGTGACATTTTTTAATTCAGAGAAATCTGTCAAGTCAATATTACTGTAAAGTCACGGTGCTTTGATTCATCATTAAAACCACAATGGTTCATTAAAACAACGAAAATACATTGCCACTGAAATATAGCCTGGAATAAAAACCTTTTTCTCAAAATTTTGTAAGTGTCACTTATACTGTTCTGGTTTTCACCCATTCACATATAAATATTTTCTTGGTACTACTATGTGATTGTCCAATTTAATAAATTTATTACAATGATGTTTTCATTAAGGACAATTGGAGAGAAGAAGTTATTCAGTAAGTTGTAACCATTTATTGAAATAAAGTTGTCCATCATTAGGCTTTCTTAAAAATAATTTATTCACAGATTAATAAGATGCATGTTCCCTCTACCCGTAGGGTAGAACATTGGCACCACCACATCATATGCAGAGTATGTATGGGTGCATGTTTGCAGTTAATGTCAAAGTGCTCTTTGAAAAGAACAGAAATTGGTTTGAGCGGGTGTTGTACATTTTGTGAGAGAATTTATACTACAGCAGTTCTTCGTGGATTGACCTTTTCCACATTAGTCATCCAATTGTCGGGCTCCGAGAACTTTACTTCGTGCATTAACAGCTTTTTTTGTATTATAGGTTGGAGAAAATGAGGCAGACTGGCTTTTTGTTACGAATTTATAATGACAAGTGGTCGCCGGTGACAGATGCTCCAGAGCTTCCTCCAAAAAGAGTAGAGTTCGATGATGTTATATCTTTATTTTCTTTTGGTGGTGTTGTTCTATGTGGTGCCCTATTAATGCTCTATTTTGAAAAAAAGTTGAAATCTAGAACAAATTATTGATAATTAGACTTTTTCACTCATAAAAGCTTTCTAATTGCAATACAAATATTAATTTATTCTAATTGTATGATATTGCTATCAACTACACTATACTTGAAAATTGAAAAGTTCTATCGTGTGTGGTGTGGTTTGTGTGTGTGTGTGTTTTGATGTGTAATGAATTTTGATGTGGAAAATTGTGGTAGGATTTAATACTAATAAGTAATGTTAAGCGGAAAGCAGTACCGGCACAGCTTCTAAAAAATACATCAATACACATTTTTCAAAATATTTACTGAAATATGTAGCTAGCAGTTGAAAGGAGTGACTTAACAGTAGATGAGTTTTCACAAACAAGTTTGTGTGACTTAATGAAGAAGAGACCCCTAAAATTATAAAGTAAAAATTTATATGACCATAAAAAAAATTAAACTGTTTTGAATATATAAATATTAAAATATTTTTTTGACAAAATTTTAAAACTTGAATAATGTTAGCACAATTTATTTTAATTCAAATTGTCATTTATTCTACCAATTTTCTCAACATTTGCATGCCTAGGTTATTTCTATGATGTAAGTGAACACACAGGTTTAGATTCTGTAATTGTTGCTGGAAAAAATACCATATTTCTGTTTTAAAAATCATGTACATAGTACTGAATCAAGATAACAACAGCAGTAAAATCATCACAGTGATTGAACCAAAATATGCAAAGTTTAAATAACTATCACAGTTGTATCATCAGTATTTTGTTTTAACAAAGTTCAACCTCGAAAGAAAACCTTTCAGATTCATGATTTGTGAGATACAATCTTTGTTTTTCGTACCTTCCTTAATTTGACTATTTGTGAATCACAAGTAATATTCAATTTGAATTAAGTAGGTTTTAATAAATTATGATGAATGAGTTAAATTGTAAAAATATTTTGTTTTAAACCTAATTCTTTGTGATTAACAACAAATGTGAAGGATGGTTAATGGCGGTTTCAGTTACATATTTGTAAGTTACTGGACTCCATTTAAAGTCCCAGAGCTCCAATGTTAACAAGGCACAATTTGTTGAACCCAACAAAGTTTTCGTTGTACTGTATAAACTATTCATTTTGACTAGTGGGCAGTTTTTTTTTCAATGAATCTGAATGACTGAACCATCAAGAAGAGAAATCGTTTTAAAGTACTTTAAGTAAGCAATTTATGATGTAACTTGCTGAATATGTACAACTAAGAGAAATGCACTTCCCCTTTTTAATACCATATTATCCCCATATGATTGTCATTTCTATTTGATTTGTTGGAATCCCCAACCCCCTCCATGAATGAAATAAACGTAGTTTGGGAAAACATCTTATAGTGCATTATTCATACCATTGTAAACAACCATACAGAGAAAAGATTGACTTTAATAGAGAATTTTGAAGTGACATAGATGATTATACAGGTTACGAGGTGGTTTGTCTCCCTCTTTTCTTGCTTTTCAGAATTGTTATTTTAAGGGGCCGTTAGCAAGCCAAAACTGAGGCATGCTTACGGTCCCTTAAAATAACCTAGGGCCTTATTAAAAGGGCCTTAGGGCCTCCCTTATATTAACCATAAGGGCCTTATTAAAATTTTGAACAAACTAGCAATCTGAATTAATAAAAAAGTTTACTATTACATTTGCAATTAATTTTTTCAGTGTTCATTATGTAAATTTAAATCCTTTTTGTATTTGTGAACTATTGTAATTTATAGATTAAATCATAGAGGAAAGTTAAATTTCTTTTCTCGAGCTATAGATTTCATATTTACTTTGAATTCATTTGTCGTACATTTCCATGGTATTAACCGGTGCGTAGTTCAACCATGCTTATGATATTAATCTGGCCCTGAGAGAGGTTACAGTCATTCTGTGATAGGTTGACATCGCAATGGCTTATCAGATTGCTAAGTGATGCATTTGCAAATTCACTCTGCAGATTCAGAATGAAGCAACTTAGGAATATATAGTATATGATATTGATGTGAGATAGTGTTTTTTTTTTAAATTCAGTTTCAGTGGAAAACATTGAGAACCTGACAAGGTGTAAATGGCGATGCTGTTCATGAACGTAAGAGGATATCTCCAGGGGTGGGGAGGGTTTCACAATATGGGATGAAAAACCAACATTCTCATAATGTATTTGAAATATTTATTTTATTTCTAACATCAAACTATAAATTATTGATCATGTTAATTAAACATGAATCATAGAGGGAAGGGGCTTAAAAAAACTAAATTGCATACTAATTTTTGAATGGCCACTCTTAGGAAAATTGTAAACCTAATTCTGTTTGCAAGTTCTTATAATAAATTAAGTGATGCAGTAGTAAAATAATAATTTATAACTGACTAGGGAAATCCATAACTGAAAAAAGAAAAACAAACAATAAACAACTTATATAATTATTATTTCAACATCTCCACAATCATTAAAAGTAATTTAATTAGAAGTGTAAAACATTAATTTTTAAATTATTTAAGCTTACATTTTACTTCTTCCTTCAGCTAACAATTTCTTTATTTGAATAACAAGCAATTCTGATAAAGAACATGATTCCAAATATTATGTATTAAATTTTAAGCTTACAACAATTATCATGAATATAATTTCCAAAACTGATGTACAAATAAATACTATAAACTTAGTTTGGGAACACTAGTTACAAATATGCATAGGTGTGCACAGCCTAAAACAAGGGGAAAGGTGCAAACATGACCTATTTACTAGAAAATGAAGAAAAAAAAAAACAATTATAATGAAATTATAAATTCAGTAATACAAAATTAATAAATACAATTCATTTTACGTTAAACTATTAACACAGTAAACATGCCTTGAGACGAAGAGTATATATGCCTTGCAAATGCCTTGAGACGAATGCCATGTAACTATTTCCAAAATGGTCAGGTTAAATAAGGAAAAAGTCAGATTGAAAACATTAAGGAGAATAAAATGTTACATTGGACTAGGGCCCATTCCAAAGTTTTGAGAGGGCTAAACCCCTCTCCTGAGGTATGCATGCCTTCGCAAAAATGAAGTGTGAAATAATAATTAAAAGGACTAAATGTAATAAATTTGAAGAAAAAGCTAAGGAGGAAAGTAATTTACTCTGTGTGGAAATTGTAACTTCTGGCTCTGAATAAAATTCTGTGGGATTCAATAATACTCTTTTTTATGTCGGTTATTAACTTACTGCAAAAAGAGATTAACATGTTTTACAAATGTGATGAACAGTTTAACAAGATTAATGTAATTTTTGAACATAATCAATAATCGATTCATCGTAGGTAATTATCATTACTTAGGTTCATCACATTCTTCATGCTGTCTTTAGTTTCAACAAATAAGTCTAGTTATGGTTCGACCATCTGGAAAGTACTGGGAACTAAGAACGATTACGGTAATTTCATTTTTTTCTGGGACATTACAGGACTAGAGAAAAAATTCGGGAATCTACGTACGTTCGTTGGACAGGGCTGACCACCGAACATGTAGTTTTGCAAATGACCGTCAGGTCAGTTTCGCGCGCGCAGGGCACTCGCCCGGCCCTTAACAAGTTCCCAGGGAGAGGAAGAAAGGGTCAGTGAACTTCATGATAAGGCTCCGACACGCGAAGCGAACGTATTATTCCGAAGAGGCATTTATTTTGGGCATCTGTATTTTCCCAAAACAAAAATAAATCCCTTGCCAGAAGGGCGACTCTAGATATCACTCTTGTAAGTAATCTGACAATGCGTCTCGTTGCAGGAAGATGGATCAGTACATCCGCCGCTCGTCCGTTTCTTATTCTATTACTGTTCAAAATCTGTAGAGGTGGCCGCTTAATAGACGTCAGTCTACGAAATATGCCTATCCGTTGGCCATAGGGCCAAGTGGCCGCTCAAAACGAATACGGAGGTGACCGTATAATCGAGGTATTGTTTCACTGTAATTCATTAAATATAAACGAAGTGTAGCCTAAAAGCCTAGCTTTCTGGGCCCCCTAGATCCTTAAACTGTATATACATATGACATTTTACTTTGCAACGACTTTCTAAAAAATAAAAATTATTTTAATGCAATAGTAAAATGGATTGACTTTGACTAGACTGCATTGTTTAAGAACGCTTTCGTACACCTCTTACCCGTTTTCAGCCTATTTTTGACGATATTTCACGTTTCCAAGGGGGATGGACTAGTTGGCTCCTTTCAGGTATGCAGATTCGAGTTTTCGTGTTTGCCTTGAATTATAATGTATCAGTAGTTTTTTGTTGTTTTTTAAGATTGTTCGCCTCGTGGATCAAAATGTGCAATTTCCCAATTTTTCATAGTTTTTAGAAAAATAATAACTTTGTAGATATTTCATTGATTTTTTATAATACATTTAATATGAGATTATCAAGTTCATACAATTATATTTTTTCCAAACCGAGTTCAGTGTAACATCAGTTATTTTTGAGGGGGGAACTGAAATTAAATCGATGACCCTACTCGCAAATTACAAATATCAAAATGAATATTTCCGTTTAAAAAATAGAATTTATACTATCAAAAACTAAAGTGCATTCAAAAGGTTCTATGTGTAGAAATTTTGGAATTATTTTTTGCAAAGATGAGGAAATGCAATAAAAATTAATTTTAATTATTAGAAATACCTAGTCGATTAGTAAATTACTACATCGCAAGGGTTGCCTTTAACGTCTTAAGTAAAATGCCGATAGATCTTATATCTGCGGACAAAACGGCAATAATACTTAATCTCATAGATAGGGTACAACGTTGTAACAATATATGGATAGATTGTGTCCATTGTCATCACCACTACTTCTACACTAATTTTTAAAAAGGATTTAACATATTTATGAAAAAAACATTTTATTACATAGGGGCTGGTGATATTTTTTTTCAAGGAAGCTACAGCTCTCTTCCTGCTCTCTCTGCTGCTTGTGAACGTAAATGCTGATAATGAGTCATGCTGAGAGAAATACTCGGTATCGTGTGGATGGTGAGAAATATATCGTGCTCCATAATAAGCCGGTCTTCACAGTGCGGAAGCTTCATTAGTCATTTGCTGTAGTGTCACTCTGGAACTTGCTGCCGGTAGTTCTTTAGTTCGTACTCGTTAATAAGATTCGATATTTTCCCTTTTATTTCGATTTGCATCGGAACGCTGAATGTGCGTACAGTTTTCTCCATAGCCTTAAAGAAGGCACACAAAGCATCTTCTTCATAAACTTCACTTGACCTTTTCCTATCGTGGAGGTCTTCTTGCAGAGATTGGGCTACAGGAGGGTGAAGACTCGATCTTGGGGGATCACTCGTTCCCGCTGTGTAACTTGTTATTCCAGAGGCAGCATTTGGAATCTCATTGCATTCCTCAGTTGTCTCGATGCGTTCAATTTTAATGTGTTCTTCCCTTTGATTGCCCGCTACATCAATAATATCAAAAAGTGGAGCAATATTGCAAGACGAATCTGTGCTTTCCCCGGATTCAATTGTTAGATTAGAATAATTTCTGTCAGTTAGATGCGATATGATAAAAGACATCGCAGATTCATATTTCCAGGGACGTTGCTTAGCCGCCTGCCCTCGCCGTCTCTTCTTGTAAGATTTTCGAAAACTATCTCTTAGCGCTATCCAACGCTTTCTGCACTCTTCAGCTGTAACAGAAATAATTTAAAAATGGATACATCCAAACTTAATAAACTGAGAAAAATATACAAATGAAAGTTAATCAAGCGAAAATAAAATTACAACTAAAACCTGTTTCCAATAGAATTCCTCACTATATAACACTGCAACAATAATTATTCACAAAACTATCTTGGGACCCCCTCCTTTTAAATGCGAGCATCTTGTGGATTAATGAAGCAAAAACCAACCTCAACAAATAACAAGTCGTCCAAAACCAATATTTAAGAATAACCACCAAGCTTTTGGTTTGTTATTAACACCAACTTCACAAAGAACTGAACTTCCAACCGTATTTGCAAACATTGTAGTAGCAAACATTTGTTCTACATATCTGGAATTTATAATTTATTAATGATTATTTAAAACAGCAGGTATAAAACATGTATACATTTCTGGAGCGTATTTGTTGCGAAACTAAAACAACGAAAGTTTGTTATTCAATCTAACTGAATGTGTATGTTACATGGAAAGCTTATTTCACTTTTAAACAATTAACGAAAGAATCACAGTTTATGTCAATATAATTTTCTTTCGACGCCAAACAAGCAGGCGCATGCGTCAATCTTTGCACTCGTGGCCACAACGGTCACCTGCTTTTTCCTCTGAATGGTATTATTGAATTGAATTGAATTTGCCTTATTTTACATAGTGAGACCCAGGCCATGAGGCCTGCTCTTCCGTCTGACCACGCAAATTTCGCTACGCTCCTTTCAGCAACTAGCGGAGAAAGGAGGTACTCCTTGGGCCACGAACAGGCGATTTGAATTTAGCTCAGAGACTACGTCATTTAGGCTTGATGATCATTTACATGCAAGTAAATCTACTAACATGGGCCAGCCGGCTTTACTTCCCTCTGAAGGAAGGTGTACGAAGAATTCTTTCGCCCTTTAAAATCCACGGCTTCGATTGGGTATTAGGGGAGAGGGCATTAAGCTTACTTTCTGACAGTTTACCCGTTTGAAACCGCCAGCCGCAGAGACGAACTTAGGCATTCTGGCGCCCATGCCAAGCACAGAATTTGCGCGATGGCTCGTGCCTTGTCTAGATGCGCCTCTGGCCAGCCACCATCCGACTCGCTCAAGCGTAGTTGCTCGAGCAATCCGCTCTCCCTGCTGTGGGTGCCATTTTAAATTTATCACCCGGTATATGTTGTTGTAACACCAGTTTTATTTCGCAAAAGCGCTCCATTGATTTTGAGTGATTCGCTGGCCGAACCGAGTCGTGCCGGGCTGCGCCACACCGTATTGTGTCGTTCCGAGCCGAGCCAGCTGCTTGAAGCGGATTCTCTGAATTCATTGTGAAACATTATGAGCGGTGCATGAAGTCGCACGGGACTGCGCAGCGTTCTGTCGGTCGCTAGAAATGAGTTCCCTGCTTAGAACAGAAAAGATACGGGAAACCTTCATTGAATTAATTGTTTCCAGCCGGAACGTTCTAGTGAAACGTGTGTTCGACAAAATAAAATCTGCAACTCAATATTCATAAACAACACTATTCGTAAACCAATTGTGACAGTGTTTATAGTAAATACGAAAAAAGCACGTTACTTTACATTTTTGAATGATATTTAATTCTGTTTTATGAATGTCCTTCTCTGTGCACTGACCATATCTGTAATGTTTAGAATGTCCATTGTTTGAGCATGCCTTTCTGTACATGCATTGGTGAAGAACGCTGATGTATATATTAATAGTACTTATAAAAGAGAACTACTTTACCTGACCAGCCTTGAAAACTCTCAGAAATTTGTTGCCATGCTTTGTCTTTCTTTCTGTTGTCATGATACCCTGGGTCAGCAGTATCATAGAGAAATGGGTATTCTCTCACAGCTAATATAAATCGTTCATCAATATTCATGTTCACAAACGAGCGCAGCTGCTACAGCACGTCAAACAACGCACAAGGGAAGCGCCATGTCACGCCGTGCCGCGCCGCGCCGCGCCGTGCCGTGCCGTACTGGCCGTTTGACTCGAACGGATTTTGTCCTCGGGGAAGGATTCCGGCCTGTCCGTTCCGGTGCCGGGCCGAGCCGAGCTGAGCCGAAACAAGCCGAGGCGGCCGTTCAATTCTACCGAGTTGCGAAGCGGAACATTTCGGTTTGTGCCGGGCGGTGCCTGCCTTCTCGGCGCAATGGTGGAAGAAGGACCCTTTCCACCAGGCCCGGCACGGTGCGTGTACCTTTTCTCGCGGAAGGAAATCTTCGTTGTCACGACATTGCGACTGGACTGAAAACATTTAGTTTTTATCTGTCACGTGTGTCTTTCTTTAACCCCTGTTAACATTCAACCCTAACTGGTTGTTAAGTGCACACGTGCCTTCCTGTATGTTAAGAAATTTAACTTTCTTAGAAACGGGTAACTATTGAAGTATGTACATTTTTACATAATTCGTGAGAATTTATGGTGCTGAATATGCCACGAAACGTTATTACTGTCTCGGCTTCGGTACGCTACACCTCGATTTTTAACCTTTAACTTCTCCAATAATAAAACTCAACATTTCTAGGTATGTTAATAGCTATTAAAACGGGACGAGAACTGAACTCGGTGGTTTTTTGTAACCCAGATCTGAATATAGTAAACTAGGGTGTGTGGACGTTTATCGCCATTCTTAGATCAATTTACTTTTCCCCATCCAAGTTTGCAGGAGTTTTTGATACTATTATGACAGGTTTTTTTTTCTTTTTTCTTTCTTGCGGTAATGCGGTAGAAATCGATATCAACATTTTTTTAGGAAATATAGCTTTTGGAGGCCCCGGCTCATTTCCCTAAAACTTATCAATTAAAAAAACAAGGAAGAGGGGGGGGGGGAAAGATGCAATTTTTCATTTTTTAGCGTTTTGTTGCCGGTGAATTTATCAATGGATACTAGGAAACAAGTCACAAAGATATTATATTGTATTATCTTTACAAATAATACGAGAATGTATTTGCTGTTGTAACACCAATATTTGAACAGTTTTCTAACACACCTTCATAAAACCGGGAAATCTTAAGAATTACTTTAACCTAAATATGTTCTGAATTGCATGAGCTATTACCACTGCTTCGGAATGTCTACCGATGGTTGAATCATTACAAAATATAGCAACGAGCGTTGTCGACATTCGACAAGGCGTTTTCGCTATCGAGTATTACAAACCATTTACATCGAAAAACGAGCTAACTTCTTATTTTTTAGTATGCTTATTTATCATCTAAAACAGAAGAAAAAAACGGTATGTGACATATGAGGGGAAATCGTAAAAGTTTAGTAAGTTTTAAGAAAAGCAAAACTGCGAACGCTCCAGAATCTATTCTCCACTCTTTTACAATATATATTATATTAGTTGAAATAGTTAATTGTTTAATTATGAACAAATGTTAATATTAGAATAATAATTGATAGCTGTTGAATGTACAATCATTTTAACTGATGAATTATAAACAAATGTATCAATAACAAACATGGCAGGTAACATTTGAAAAATAGAAATGTTCGCTCTCGAGATCATGAAACGTATTTAGATTAGCAAACGAACTTCTTATTAGATGCTATACTGATTCAATTATTCAGTATTACTGAATAAATAACAATCCCTCCCTATTCCTCCGGCATCTAGCAAAAAAGAAACCAACAAAACATGCGCAAAGTCTAAAAAAATAATTTAATTTGATATTATAGTACATACAGTTGTTGATATAACCAAATTATCTAATGAAATCAGAGAGATTTAATTCAGAAACGAATGTTCGTTATATCAGCGAATACAACGATTACAATTTGATTGAGGCGCCAAAAACCGAACTCCAATACTAGCGCTGCTATCTTTCGACTTGTAAAAATAATCGGATCAATGAAGCCCTTGGACAAGTGAAGTACGAAACGCGTCGAATTTCATTTTCCAACCTTGTATGAAAGTTTCGATGGATGTGTTGTTTTAATTTTATTAATGGACAACTTTTATTTGTTGACATTGGCCGCAAGACGGTGATTGTTAATTTTAGTTTATTAAACAATAAAAATAGAGTCCTAAAGAGATGAAATTCGATGTTGATTCTGTTGGTTTAGAGGATCAATCAGCATGTGCAGGTGTACGAGCTGATTTAAAAATGTGTCTTTTGGAAAGTGACTGCGTGAAAGTGGTTTGTATTCTGTCACAGAGTACTGTTGAATTTACTTTTATATGAATATTTATTGGCTCGCAGACGTTATATATTGGGATAATATTACGCGATGAATGAAACGCAATAGAGTAGTAGTAATAACTTTGGATTATTATATCCCTTAGAAATACCAAATAAAAAAAGGCTGTTTAATATTTGTGTTCACTGCTTCTTGTAGAATGAAAGTTATAATGCCTCACTAAATCAGGCATTGTAAATGACTAACTCGAGCAGATTCAAGACTCGTAAAATTAAAGTTATCATTTATTTTTTTTGCATTCAATTGGCATAAAAGGTGCAGGTGAAGGAAATGGAATGACTTGCTTGCGGTAAGCTAACAATTAGATCAAACAGGGTTTTGTCAAGATGATGAAACAGTGCTAATCCTTGCATATTGATTGAAAGAAATTTACAGATTCAAGACCTTACCCTTTTTATGCTCTGAATGCTTAACAACATGGTGTGTTATTTCGTTCTTCCTTATTTGAAACAACATGCATAGATGAAAAGGAATAAATTTAAAGCAAAGATTTTTTATAGGGGACAAATATATTTTCTCACTATCACAACTGTATGCAGCAGGCTGAAGACTTGTAGTTTCTTTGATATCTTATGTTCAAAAAACAGGTTTTTTTTTCATTAATAAAATAGCATTTGCATGAATATGACACGACATGAACAAATGTTTAAATGTACAAACAATTGTCAGCACTAATCATCATTTCAAACTAGTGTGCATTCTATGGGTTAATTTTTGTATTGCTCAAATAACAAAATCAATTTTTTTGAAGTTCAATTGAACGTTTTTTAAAAATTTTAACTCATTTTAACATTCTGTAGGATCTACAGGTTTTGAGTGAAAAATGTCCAAAACAATAATAGTAATATGGTACGAAAAATAGTTCTTTGAGTAATAGCAAAGCCCTTCCTCTCAAAAAACATCGATGTAATGATTTAGAATTTTTTCCTAGAAAAGCCATGAACACATTTTAACCACTGTCTCTATTAGTTCCTGAGCTCAACGAATATACAATAATACTCAAATTTCCCCATTATATGTCATATAATTTTCTTCCTATGTAATTGAAATTAATTGTCCCCGTCAACTCAAGTTTAGATGACCTTCAGTATTATGCATTATTTCATGTAACCAAACATATTGAACAAATCTTACATTGTCCTTACAACATAGGATTTTAAATTGTCCTAGACAGCCAGAATTTGATTGTTTTTAATCAAAGGAATTTGTCTAAAAGTGTGGTAGAATTTGTACAATATAATCCAAAATGTTTGTAGATAAATGTTAATTTGAAAACAACTCTTGAATATTGTATTTTATTATCTCTTTAAATAATTTAGCAAAAATGTGAATTTCTGTAGTGTAATGAATTGCGCTGCATATCAAATAATGAAAATTTAGAGACAATTGTGATGTTTATATATTGAATTAATCTGTTTTGAACTGCATTAAGTTCTTGAATGAAAACTGTACCATAAATTGACTGAAATCAATTATAAATTTTATTTGAAATGCTTATGAGTAGACTTGGTAAAAATTAATGATTTAATTTTATTTTTTTTATAGCACAAGAAAACTCCCAGACAGTGCTTTCAAGAACAAGATTCAAGTGTTCCTAATGAATGTTATGTTTTGAGGAACTTATTTTTTGAGTGCAAAAGATCATTGGTATGTTATTTTGGAGTTTAATTTATTCAAAATATTGAAAATTTTTATAAAATAAAAGTGTCTATTCTATTGCAGTTGGATAACCGTCAAAGATTTAGAGGAAGAAAAGGGTATTGAAAAAGAATGAATATAAAATATAACATTACAATTTGTGCATCAATCATTATTTGTATGTAAGTTGTATGTGATAAGAAAAATGCAGTGTGTGTGTATAAAGAATATTATAGTTAAATAAAGTAGAAAGAAAATTTTGTTGGCTTCAGTTAATTTCAAATAAATTATTATTCTATTCAAATAAAAACAGTATATTATATACTGTTTTTATTTGAATTATATACATAACTATATATTGCTTTAATTTTGTCCTATTTATTTATAGTCACTATCTGTTCCCTGTGATTTTAGTGTTTTTTCTTGTTTTAGTAGTGATGCTTTCTGTGTTTTAATCCACTAGTTTAAAAGAATTTACATCCTCACAGTATAAAAATATGTTTTGTATAATTTATATGAAACTGTCTTCATAAAATCCAATGTGTGTGCTACTGTTGGATAAAGCAGTGGCAGCTTGTGAATAAATGTTCAGGGTAGGCAAAACAGATGCAGTGGCACATCCCAAGGAGGGGGCATGGGGGCCATGCCCTACCTCAGTCCAATTTTTTTGTAATTGTATTCAAATGCACAATACCTTTGCGTCAAGTATGGATACTCCGTGCTATTGTTCTATGCTTGCTATAGGGCTTTTTCTCGGAATACAGTGCAAAGCGAGGCAGTGCTTGGGCATGCCTATCGTGCGAGGTGCAAGTGGGCACATGTGTTTGCGGGAAGAGACAGGAACAGATTGCTTGCTGCTTGAGCTGTTAGAAGTGCTTGAAATGAAAATATAGCGTAGTGCCACGATAATTAGCTTAGTAGCCACAATAGCTGAGTAAAACGATTCATTATGCATTGTAAAATTAATAATAGTAATTGCACCATATTGAAATTGTAAGAGACATTTAATTTTTTCAATTATTATGAAATGTATTAAACAAGTACATATCCATCATGGTATGAAGAGTCATCACTGAGATGAGGGATAATCCTACAGCTCTGCCAAATAGACAAGACACAAATGGTATAGCACATGGTATTAAGAGAAAAGTAGGTGCACAGACAACCCCCTTAATATGCTGAAACACCCTTTAACCATTACTGAATTATTGGAACATGTTTTAGGATTGTAACAATGTTTCCATTTTCATATCCCCTAAGGGGCATGAGTTATGTTTCAAAATCTATGAATTACTAATTCATTTTGTATATACATTACATATCTTTGTAGCACTGTTTGCAAGAAAAGTTTGAATTTGGGTTCCAGCATGAAGCTATTATCACTTTGAAAACAATGATGATTTACTAATGTAGAATCCAAATAGCACTGGTCATCTCTAGTATGATTTAATACAGATGGCATTAGTAAACAGGTTGGTCCAAAGTTGATAGGAGGGCTGCAATGAAAAGAAATATTATGTGTTGAATAGTAGTAAGTCCTGCGATACTTTTGAAAGAAACAATTACAACAATATACTTAATTAAAAAAATTAGGTGCACAGATATTATTAGAAACTGGAAAAATCTCTCAAAAAGAGCTTAGTTTTAAAGGAAGAGAAATGAGGGCTTAGAGAATAGTTTATAGTTAATGTTGAAAATGCAATATTTTGATGCATCTTCAGTTACTTGCAGGAAGCAGTGTTTTCACTTGTCTCCCAAATTTGCCTGAAATATCACACTTAATGGAAACATTACAAGTTTTTACAGTTTTTAATGGTTTACACTCGTCAGTAATTTTTCTCAGTGCTCAAATGATGTGTCTTCTTATTTGAGGTCCTTGCGTATAATTTGCTAGCGTACATACAACTGTATGGTGAAGAGTGTAATGTCCAATATTTTCATCTGAAGTACCCTTAAAGAACAAAGACATAAATATACTGTTTGATGTCACCTCAAATTTGAATTTGTAAACTTCCTTGAATTTGAATTTTATTATATTGCATTGAAGTGTAACAGGGTCATAAAGGAGGGTGCTAGTGACAGGGTTGTTGTGTGTGGGAGCCCTAGTGAAGTTGGAGAGATTTTGGTCTGATATCACTAAAGATATGTATGTTAGCTTCTTTGTGATTTATAGATCATAGCTATATTGTCATATAATTGAGTCACGTTGTTTATTATAATTATTTGTTCCTTTTGGAACCCCTTTTATGGAGTCTAACATATTGTTGGATCTCTGCTTTTGATTATGATAAATCTTCAATTGAATGTTGTTCAATTGAGTGTTGTTCAAATGTTCAATTGAGTGTTGTTAAATTATGTTTGCAAATTGTGAACATTCAGACAGGTATTTATTGGCTGTTTAATATTTTACCCAGGATATTAATACTTGCTGAAGAAAGAAAGAATGTTGTATATGTGTACATGAAATGTTTAAAAGATATATGTGTGAAGATTGTAGTCTTTGTTTATATTTATGTATTGATAAAGTTTTTCATATAAAGGAAGTTGAACTGTATTATTTTTAATTGATTATCGTATTTCAGTATTTTTTAAGGGTATAGTGAAGAATTGAGATTCTATTGAGAATGTAGTTTAGTCATAAGGATTTGAGGCAGGAAACCTAAAGAAATAACACAAGTAAATACTGTAAAATGTATTTATATTAGCAATAGAAGAAAGTCTCTTTACATACTTTAATGTATGATAAAATACTGTAACAATATTGCTGGTATCTCACTCATTGGAATAAAATTGTAAAAGTGCAAGGACAGTAAAACTCTCATTGAGAAGTTGGCACTGAAGTTGTCGGGAGATGACTCGCCCTTTTTCACTCGTGAACATTGACAGTGGTGAGCAAGTGTACATTACTGTAGTGGGACGGTCTCCAACTGTTGTTTACAATAGTCTGAATTGACAATCATTGAAAATATATCATCAGAGGAATGAAGAAAATAGCATGTTGATGGTTGAGTAAGTAATCTTTTTGTTGTGAAAAACAGAAATTTAATTTTGAATATTTTTATCTTCAGTTCAGATGTTTGCCATTCATTTCCAATATTAGAATGTTACAAGCTACCGAAATGAATTCATCACCTTAGAATTGAGTTTCTCAGAACATTTACCCATTCATTCAGTCATGTTTGATTCAATACCGTATCTATCCAATGTGTTGACCATGTTAAATGTTGAACTCAATTTTCTACTTATTATTTTAATCTCTGTATTAAATTACTTTCAAAGAGACATTTTGGAATGAAGCAAATTTCAGTAAAAAATGTCTTTACAGAAGTTTTTGGGAGAAGATAATATATTTCGTGAAGTTAAATTACATTTTATTGGTTTGTAAAGGCTGCTAATAGCCACTCTGAAATAAGAGTGCTACCTGCTTAGGCAGAAAAAGCAATTATGTTGGATTTCAAGAATGAAATGGTTTAGGAACATCATGGTCAGTCCAAACAGTTCTCTAGTGTTGTTTCAAAGGGCAATGACACATTGTCATTTTATTCACAAGCATTATCAACAAAGCAGTGACCTATTATTATTACTTTAGGAACCACAACTGCCAAAAATATTACCATTACGATGCAAGATCAAATGGAAAAGAAACTGCCGATTTGTAAATGGACTGCTGCTATTATATTGAAGCTGATGTGAACAGGCCCTTGGTTACATTTTTTTAAAGCGTCTTTTCCCTAAGTTTTGCCTGTTGCATTTTGTGCAACTGACGGCTCCACAGAGCGGTGAATTATAAAACTGATGTATTGAAAATTTCTAGGCCACTACTGGATATTTCTAGTGCTTTACATGGAATTCACTAAGTGTAATGCTATAGTGTCTTGTATTTTTTTGTATGTTATTCTATGTTAAAAACTTAGATTAAGTGGGAAGCAGATAATTTGCACTTAAGAACAAATATATAAGTGATAATGTAATTCTTCTTGAATTAGTAAAAGGTGGGATAATTTTGATTTATCTGTGAATGGTGCCCAACAAACAAGTGATGATACAAATTGCATTAATTCAATAAAACAGTTTGATTTCATTAAAAATGTGTAGATCAATTGAGTAAGTTAAAATTGCAAAATATATTATATTATTTTAAGATCAATAAAATCTTGCAAGAATTTCATCTTTAATATGTTATTTTTGAATTGACTTTACGGAAAGTACAATTTTGTGGGGAGAGATTTAAAATTGGGGTTAAAATGTTCATTAAAATTTCCATTAATTGATACCTTCATTTAGAAGCGTTCTACCCTGTTTAATCTTTTTTGATTGAATTGTAGATTCCCATAAAGTATCTTGAATATTGGGCATGGTATCTGCAGATAAAGTGTTAAACTGATAATGATTTATTTCTGGTAAACATTCTACATCAGGCCTTGGGCTCTGCTTAAAGTTTGTGCTTCTCACTTGTTCTCTATTTTTAATATAAGAAATGAAAAGCTGCTATATTTGCATCTAAATTTTTCTAAGTGTGAAAAATGGTTGGCTCTTTGGCTCATCCTTAGCTAATATTCATCGTTCTTTGGTATTATACTGTATTAAAGTATTGTGCACTCTCAAGTCTTCTCATCCCAGGGAAGAGAAGATATTATTTTACATTCCAGAGCTGTGGTTCCTCCAGGCACCAATAAATTATAGAACTCTTGGTCCTTATACCTGCTCCGAGTCAACAGTTCTGAGATGGGAATTCCAAACTTTCAGCTTTGAGTCAGCAGGGCCTCCAACCTGTGGGCATACAATGTAGAGGCAACATGAGATTACTGTAATAAAACTCAGTGATTAGGATACTTTACAAGAGAATTCCATATTTTTGTATAGGCAATTATGTAAATAACTGAGTAATTTTAGAATTTTAAATAAAAAAAAAGAAATTCATAATCCCCTATTGATTTGGCATGAAATGACCCCATATAGTAGAGTGGAAAACATATAAAGATGACAAAGCTCTGATTTTCAGTGTTTCCCCAGAAGTTTTGGAAATTGTGAGATTTCAAAATTGTTTGGACTCCCACATACAAACTACATTATTGAATACCGAGTTATTTTTTTAAATAAAATTTGTTCTCCAGAATTACTGGTAGTAGATCTTTAATTAATGCCAAGTTAATTTGTTTGAAGTTATTGTAGGTTTTACATAATTTTGATTGAAATATGCGCAATTTTAAAAACAAGATGGTCTCAAAAGTAGATCTAATTTTTTTCTTGAAATATTTTGTATGAAAAGCGCGAAATGCTCTATATAAGACGACATAAACACCTTTTTTTAGAAGGCTATTCTTTAGATTTTCAAAATTACATTTATTTTTTTATATCTCTCACATCATTAGTATTTACTTTACTGGTGGGTTTTTAATACATAGCTGCATTTGTGAGTACAAGTGCTTGAATTATTTGAAATTTCTCGAAAATTCATAAGTGTTATGTGAAAATGATTTGAAAATTGTACATTTTCAGAAACACTAAAACGACATTTTCTATAAATCTGCTCTAAATTTTTCAAAGAAAATTTACATATTGAATCACATTTTTCTTTTATGCAACTTAAAAGATATATATATATATATATATANNNNTATATATATATATATATATATATAAAACACACGCGCGCGCACACACACACACACACACACACACACACACACACATTCTTAGAGAACTGTGAAACTAGAAAACGTGAAAAAATGTAGGTTTTTTGATGGAACATCGTTTCCTTAAATTTTAGGTCAAGGAAAACTACACCACTGTATTAACCGATGTGTTCTGTAAATATTATTGTACAACATTTTGTGTAGAATTAAATTTGAGAAAATTATCAATGACTGCGAAAATGATAGATTTTAAAGCTAAAAAGTAACGGGCGTTGTTGCTGTGGAATCGAATTGTGTAAGTCATTCAGGCATATGGATTCATAGTGCTACAAAGCACATTAAAGGCCGCGATTGATTAAAAAATTAAGTTTTAGTTTCATTATTAGCTCTGTTAAATTATTTTGTTACATGATCGTAACACAAACGTACGGTCAAGTGATATGGCCTCGTGAGACGGGGATTGGAGTTTGCGAGCCTAACTGGCTGCGTACTCGTATAACTGACTTTGACAGTTCTCTCGCCACATGCTGTGGTACGCGACGTGACCTGCTCTGAAGCAATCAGTTTGCGAAGATTTGTTTACTGTCTCACAGCCAGCGTTCCACGTTGCCGCTCTGAGTCACACGAAGTCGCGGAGGCGATAAGGTTCGCCTATGGCGAAGGTTATGAACGTGATATCAAGAAGTGTCGTCGCCTGTCGGTAAGTGTTAATGTCCTGACATTTATCTGTCTGTGTAGGTGGCGCCACGAGCGTAGTTATGTGTAGTAAGCACATCGAACTGTCAGAGAGATATGCTGCCGGTACTGTTAAGTCCCTGGGTTCGGAACTCGCGTTGGGTTGTGGACGGGGAGCATTCCGAGTTTTTTTGGGTCCCCTACCCTCGAATCCAGGCCTGCTCAAACCCGACTTCGCGGGCCGCCCCGAGCCGACCCCGGCAAACGAGCCTAGAAATTCAGATCGCGAGCTACGATGTGTCGAGGAGGGAATGGGCATCAGTAACTACGACTCATTTAGTCGTGTAAATGACATATCAGCTGTTGCGGTTTCATCCAAAGGAGAACGTATATGTCGCTATAGTGACGCCACTGTGGGGACGTTGAAGCTCCCAATTGGATGAAACCGTGGTCAGCTGATTTACTTCAAGTGCACGGTTAAATAAATCCTGGTATAGCGGAAGGGGAAATGGCTTCCGGAGTGGAGTGCGGGGAGGTCGAAAGCCTTACAGTCATCGACTCCGAAACGCATGACACAGAGACAACGCGAACATTTTTTGGATCAATTACGCATATGTACTCTGTATGGTTTTTTACTGTCTTATCTGGCTAGAACATTTCTAACAGATGAAAAATGCTTGAATTACGAATGAAATTTGTGTGTTTGTGTACAAGTAAATTAATATTAAAGTTTTTATAATTAAGAAAATGGCCTTATGAAATGCCAACGCGGTTTTTGCCCCCAATCCACAGCTTCTCTTCAATGGGAACTTGTCAATGAGTCCGCGATACACTATGCGTTTGTCAGACAGTTTTGAAGGTCACTCGCTCCTGAATCCTGGGTAGGCGTTGCCTGCCCAGTACCCACTAGACACCTTCCATCCCCACCGCAACAACCCTCATTCCGCGATGACGCCAGTCTCAGCTCGGAGCGCACGCGCGCGTCTGAAGCGAGTTGGGTACGCTCGCCCTAATCCTTCCATTGATTGATAGTGATTCCGAGCTCGTCAACTGATAAGGTCATTAGTCCCGTAAGTACAGTACATGCGTTTTCCTGGAGAGGTTGCAGTGATCTTCCCTCGCTGGAAGGTGAGATACGGCTAACGGGTTTTTCCTCAACCAGGTATTTCCCGCCAGCGGGTATTTCCGCTCCAGTTAGGACAAGCTCTAAGGTCCCAACCAGTCTCTTGGCTTGCGTGGTAGTGTAGTGCGTGTAAACAACAGGCGAGGATAGGACAAGGAAGAGGAAGGAAAGATGGCGCGCGGTCTGAGGGCCTTTTGTTAGGATACTCCGGCATTCGCTCGGGTTTGATCGGAGACACCACCAGAAACTACCGACTAGTTCAGCCAACCAGCGACTGAATTCGACCTAGCTATCTATCTAGTGTCGAAAATCCTGCCATTTTCGGGTTCGAACTTAGGACCTCCCGATTAAAGGAACTGCAGTGTCATCAGTTGATGCCCTGAGCCACCTCTCCCGGTCCTAATCCTTCCATAATATTTTGGCCTGACACGCAGTGAGAGATGAGTTAGTATTATTGATGAAAAGAGATTTGTATCTAAACGCAGAGCAATAGTGCAAGTACAAGCATCGCAATGGGGCCAAGGAATATTGTTGGCAAATACGTAAAGGTACAGGACCGAAATAGGCCTATTCTGTGTTCGAGGCGCGCGCAGGGGTTCTTCGCTGGGAATGACCTCTAAGACATAGAATAGTGCGAGAAAACCTGGTAGGTCTTCAAGCGTCTAGAGAGAACATCTGGGAAGAGCGTCGCAAGGGTGAAAACAGAACCCAGATTCAACAGAGAAGGAAACTAACTAGAAAGGGAAAGTATTTGCCATTCTCTAGCCCTGTCCTACCCTGGGAGATAGTTCTTGAGTAATCGCACTCTAGTTTAAAATATGCTTTATTTTAGAAAAGGAATATTTAGAGAACTATTAAAAAAGTTCTAAATGTAGTATTGATAAATTGATAAAAGGAAATAATGTCATTATAGAAAAGCAAACAAAAATTTTTTTATTGCGGTTTATTAAAAGAAGAACGGAATGTCCAAGTGTGCTTTTCAACAACACGGTGAGATCTGGTATGGTTTTATCCATCCGGTGCTATGCTTCGAAAGCCTGGAATAGCCTATTGTCGCATCGAGACGTTCGGTCATCTAGACCGGCTTGTGCTTCTTCCACTGAAGTTCTGTAGTCTGAGTCTGTAAATTATTCTTTCCGCTAATACTCCAATGTGGTGCGTTGGCGTTGGAACGTTCGCTCGGTGTTGTATGAATATGGAATGCGTGTGCGCTATCTTGGTACGAGCCCGTTGTACGTGATAGTTTTATTTATGGCTTCTGCGTATGCAATGCTTGTCCTTCCAAGTCTTATATGGCCTTGGTCGTTAGGGCATGAGATGCTAGGACAAAGCCTGCAGTTTCTTTTTTAAGGGAACCGTCCCGAGTCAGACCCAAATAATAATGTCATCCTCATTTCCTTCGATGTCTCGATGGTGTTACAACATTTACGCGTGAATGTCACGAGACCTTCTGCAGCTGCCGCTCCAATCACGAAGCACAGCTTAATAGTACCTTCCTTACGTACTTCAACGAGCCTTACCACACTTGTTTTGTGTGTCAGCGCTAATTTCTCTGTTCGAACCGTTTCTTTATCTGCTTCACCCCTTTATCCCTTTCCATTCTGTGGGTGGTCCGGTGCGCCGCCGCAGTGAAATTCACATACTCAGATTTAAATGTAGTGTTCTTTCGCGGTCACGTGGTGGAAGAAAAAGGGGTCAGTCATACAATCCAAAGTATAAATACCAAATATTTATGTCGTAACGAAGCTCCTGATTGGATGATAGTATCCCCCTTTCCTTAAATCCCATGATTTTGAAGGGACACCACATTTAAATTGAAGGATAGAAGTGTTGACCAGATCGGACCTTGAAAAATTGAGAGTGTACCCGTGTGTTCGCAGCAGACCTGGAGCGGTCTGGTCGACGGTGTTTTGGGCTGTGCATATCTGCAGTGCACATTCACTGCCGGTCGCCAGTGATTTTACCCCTTTGATATGATTTATCTTTCAGTACCGTTCTACCGATCATTTTAACAGCGTTATATATTCACTAAAGAGGGTATACGTTCCCCAACTACACACGTCCACTACAACACAACTACCAAAGTATTGAATTGTTTGTTCGTGTTATTGGGTTCACTGATTACTTCTCTGGCAGAGGAAGCATTTTGCCTCGATTTTCTTCGATATCATCTGGCTGTGGAACCCGACAGTATTAAGATCAAACAAGTTCTTGGTGTAGATATTGCACCCGTACCGCTATATCGCGGAACGTATGTTCTAACACTTCTGTTTCTGGGTAAATTCAAAATTTACATTCTGTAATTTTTTTCGTTGTACTGTCTCGTAGTGCAGTTTTTCTTTCTACCCACTCTATACAAACGGTACGGAATATAGAGACACTATTGTTTAATACTGAATTCGTGACGAGATGTTGCGAATCAATCTCTAACAAATTACACTAGAAAATTACGAAGTAATGAATCATAATTTGAAAGTTATTATGGGATCTGTTGTTGGTCGCCTTTGTCTATCACGCCAAAATCTTCAGACCCTACATCATGTCCATCATAATTGCGATCACCCTGCAGTCAAATATACTATTTCAGGAAGCGAAGAGTTGTGAGGGATAAAAAAAATTAATAGCAAACTGAACTTGTTGAGTAAACTGCGAAATCCGTGCATTTCAAGTTTCAAATTAAATGGAACAAAATAATGTTCTTCTTTTTCTTCTTCTAACCCAATTCGAACCATGGCATGACGTCTGCAGAGTTTCAGTACTACTGGTGTATTTTTGAATATTGGAGAAAAGTCTTGTGAGATTGAGGGGATCAGCTGGCATGTTGGTTTTCACAGAAGGAATTTGGACAGGATGGTGAATAGAGGATTTTCCGCGGTTCGTAGTTTAAGATAACGTTTCAGTATTTGTCATTAATTGGAAATTACCGATGAATAGTGATTTATGACATCCCTCCAGACAGTGATTTCGCCCGCCCTTAATTATCCAGTGCCACCGTTGGGACACGAATTTAGGACCTTCCGATATTGAAACTTTATTATTATACGATTCGTGACGTAATTAGCGACGAAAATGAAGGGATGTTAAGGAATTCAGTAATGTATATAACATAATCATGTATATTTTGCTGCTGAATCCCAGTAATTGTTGAATATGTTAAAATATTACAGAAGGTGATTAATATTTTATAAATTCGTTTCAAAACAATATAATGAAAAAATAAGTAGGGATAATTATTGAAACACTCACATTTTAAATATTCTTTTCCAATCTCACCTCAATTTTTGTTTCAAAGCACTCAATTCAATTTGTTTCGTTGTTTATTTTGATTCAATCAGTATTTTTTTATTTGTTGCGTCTATATAGAGGGTACGCGTCTCCTAGCTCCTTAAGGGGCGTTGAGGGTACCATGGAGTAATCCTCCGTTAATTATTAGAGTAATCCTCCGTTACAAGCGCCCTCTAGGGCCCGCTCAGTGGTAGAAGTCACGTCAGTCACTGTCAAGTAAGGGAATCGCCGATTGGTAGCGTTTATTTTAAGTATGCGTATCAATTTAAGACTTCCAGATTCATTACAACTATTTGTTTCAATCGTTGCATTCTTCATTTTTATTCACTATCTTTTAATTTTTTTCTGGTGATTCACATTCGCTAAAACACCAAAGCACTCTCTTACTTACCCCGAATTTAGAAGGAGGCGGTGGTGCGGTACAGTCCGGTGTATCCACACAGTCGCGCTCGTAGCGCCGGCAAGAGAATGGCTGCAGCTGATAAATTGTCCATGAAGTTGGAACATTCACACATAAGCAGGTACATTTTATCACCACTGGACAACGATTTGTGCAAAGTAATCCTACGCAGTCCGACTGACTTGGGGAGGTACCGGTACAGCATTCGCGCTCCTGTCCAGTACAGCCAGTTCTTCTCGAATTTCTCGTTATCGTCTCCCTCAAACACCTGCAAAACAGACACCAAGAATCAGTCCCACTCGGTGAATCATAGTAATGAACAAAACATGTTGAACAAATAATCTTAACAAAAGTCAACCTATCGCTCGCGAGCAAGAAAGAGGGAGAGAGTGGGTGAGCAGGAGAGTGGAATGGAGTGAGGGTGTTGAGACAGGGAGAGGGGGAAAGAGGGTGAGAGAGGGGGAGAGGGGAGAAAGAAAGAATGGAAATAGAGGGGAGCTTGAGATTAAGAATGATCGTATTTCCCAATTAGCATGCAATTTCCCTTAATAATATTACCACAACTTAATTATATTACGTTATTTCTATTACGCTGATGTTCAGAAAACTCGTGTCAGAAGAATCTGTTGTAATGACGATTATACGAATGTATTATGAAACATAATTTGTTTTGAACCGTTCTTTTGTTCACAAAGAGAAAGAATTTCCCCAACCAATATGTTCTTTCTATTATGTGAATTATTCTACATTTTGTACGACGTAACTTTACCAACAGGTGGCCGAGTAGGTCATTTTCTTTACTCAAAATCCTTTATTTTTGGTCTTTTTACTATGACATATTCGGTTCTCGAGAATTGAGTGCTTGCAAGGCGGTGAGGTTGCGACTGAATGTAGCACTTATTTCCATTTGCCCCTTGTGCCTTCATTATCATTAAATGTATGAGTTCAAAGTACTTTTATTGCTTATTTTTAGTCACTGGACCCTGTCCTTAGATAGGTTTTGTGCTAATGATTTTAAAGGGCGGAGGCATGACGTTTTCAAGATTAAACAAAATATGCGTTATCGGTACTACTCAAAATAAATACAGCTAATATTTTCAATAAGAATCTTTGGTCAAAATTTTATTTTACAGATTTTTTTTCTATATTTGTATGTTTTGTCTGCTTTATACTTCTTACCTAATTTCTAGATAGGGGGGGGGGGCAAATTTCAATACTTAACGTATGTTGATTTTGCAGTCAATGGGCCTTATCGTTTTATCTTGCAAGACGTGATGAAATGGCCAGTATAGTGCGGATTTTTCTGCAGTACGATGCATTACCAATGTGATAGTAAGTTTAAAACTCCTGAAAAGCACGTATTTTATCAGTTACGTGGGAATGTTTCCCGTTTCGCAATTGCTATTTATTTTTGCAACCCCACAGCTAATTAGCTGAGGTAATTTGCTATAATTGATATTAGATTGTTCAAAGAACACTTGTTAAAACATATCTGTGACCAAGAAGTGAAATGTGATTTGGAACCGTCACAGGGGCTCATAGCTCTCAATGCTACACTATGAGATGGCAGTCTTGGTAGCTCAAGTGATTAGAGTAATTGGGAATATACCGGAGGATTCGGGTTCGATTTCCTGATGGGGAAGTTAATTCTTTGAAAAGTCAAACACTATTTTTTCTATTTATTGGTAGGTTTACTAGTGATTCCGGGTGTGTCAACGGGTAAAACAATTAGTCCTGTAAGTGTAGTGTATGCGTTTTCCTCAAGAGGCGAACAAGTTTGGACTAGTTTAAGCTTAAGTGACGGTTTTCTGCAGGAAAGCGTCACTTAAGCTTTGCAGTTTTATATGTCTAAAAGTTTAAACTGAAACGTGAGAACAACGAAAATCTCTGCTGTGAGTCAATAAATACAATACAAACGTGTAATATTTATTTTTAACACGCCGTGCACGAGACGCGATTTCTCGGGCTTATCTCCCGTGTGCGAAACAGCTATTTTCCCCCACAGTGTGCGAAACATCGCGACGCATGTGTTAAACATCAGTAACGATTTGCAATTGCGTCTTGAAGACGTCTTGAAATGCGTCTTGAAGACGTCTTTGCCCATCATTTACAAACAGTAGTGTTACGACACTGATTGTACATGGAAGGTATTTCTATTTTTTTGATAAAATTTATTTAAATTCCTTTACTTTCGCTCGCGGCGTTTTAAAACAGTGTAAGAAACGCGGGCGCAAGGTGATTGCCGCACTCGTCTCTTTGTCGCCCTCGCTACTCTCGGACGACAAACTCGACTCGTGCGTTAAACATCTGTTTCGCGCCCTTGATATGTAATCTACTATATTTTATTCAAGAAACGTATTTGTGGATTTAGTGTTAAACTAGTGTTAGACAGTACTACCAACTTGCAGGTTAACGTCCAGTCTGATTTCGTGGTCATTCAGTATAGGTGACATCGTGGTGAAAGGTGGAGTCGGTGAAAGGCAGTGAAAACCCGAAAATATTTGTAAGAAAAATGTTTGAAATTTTTAGGTCGCGATCCACCTTTGACACGTATTTTTCGTGAACAGTGTGACTAATTAAATTTTTGGTGATTCCATTATTTATATCCGAAATGTGTCTTGTATTCCACTGGCAGTGAAATTAACTTATAATTCATATTTTTCAGAAAAATTCAACTTCAACGAATTATCTGTTAGAATAAGAACTCAAATTTTTATGCAGTTTATATGGTAATGGATATAAGTTGGCGCGGTCAACCGAAAGTGGTAAGTGATTCTTAAATTTCTAAAATTGTGTTTTTGCTGTGTGTAGCAAAATGTAAAAAGCAAAAACTAACAAAAACAAAACAAAAAAATACGCGCTTGAAAACTTGTTTGTGCAACTTTGTTAATTGTGTTAATCGTACAAAACGTTATAACAATTTATATTAAAACATCTTTTGAAGTAATTAGAACTTTGTGATTACACTGTCTCTCGTCAGTGTTATGGCTTAAAAATAGCGGCAGTTTGTGTAGTTACCTTCTGGTTGTGTAGTTACCTTCGATGCCCATTATATTTTTTGCTAATGCGCATTTTCTATGTATTTCCTCTTGGATTATTTCATATGCAAATAATAAATCAATATTTTTTGCCAATTACATCTTTGACATTTACTAAGGACATTCCATTGCTTTAGAATTTCCGCTTCGAGTTTCTTGTTTCATGAAAGGCCAATTGCATAATTATAATGCGAGGTGACGGAATACAGAGTGAAGCAATAGTCTACTACTGAGAAAAATGACATCCGAGCATTTCTCCACAATATTTATCGTCTGAAATACGGTTAGACTGTCTCTTTTGAAGATACATAGGTCTTCTCTAGATGGTAGTCACAATAAATCTTCCTTCCCTGCAACGAGCTGAGTTTGTGCCAGAGTAACGTGAACCTGAAAATTCTGTCCGAGTTCGACCCTGGTTAACGCTAATGTTCGATAAGGGGATCAAACGAGTTTACAACGATCTTAAAAGCGCAGGAGCAGTGACAGATTGAGGGGGATTGTAATGATGATGATGATGATGATAATGATAATAATATAATAATAATAGTAATAATAATAGTAATAATAATAATAATAATAATAATAATAATAATAATAATAATAATGTCTACAAATGAGCGCGCACAAGGTGGCAGTCAAACAAATATACAAATAACAAAATAACTACAAATATTAAAAACTACGAATATATAATGTACGTGTAAATAAACAGTGGCGCATCCAGGTTTTTTAACGCGCACGCGCGCGTTATACTAAAAAATACAAAACAAATAGTTAACACATACCCTATTTCTATTCCATACTTATCACTGTACTTTAGTATACTATACGTATACTATACGTAATACTTTACTATACTATACGTCCTGTACTTTACTATACTTAGTAACTCATATATTAACGGCAAGTGTATGCATCGCACGTTGTTCACACTTACATTGGCCTTTTCTAATCCTCAGAAACGTCACTACCCTTCAGTGGCCTCTATACTTAAGATTATCGATCGTAAAACTTGCGTGATATGGAGGAAGAGAAAGAGTGGGAGGGGCAGTATGAGCGAGAAGCGAGGGTCGGCGGCAAAGGGCTAGAGAGGGACGCGGAGCGCACACCTTCTACTTTTTGACACTAGGCAGCTAGGTCGAGATCCGTCGCTGTCTAGAGGAAAATTCAAGCGGTCGGCCGCTCTGTCATCAATCGGTAGTTTTACGTAGTTTCTCAAATCAACATCAGTCGCATGACGAAGCAATACCCTAACAAACGGGCTACGGACCGCGCGTGATCTTTCCTTCCCCTCCCTTGTCCTATCCTCACCCCTACACACACACACACACAAACATGTATTACACTACCACAACATGCCGGTTAGGAGCTTAGAGCTTTCCCGGCTGAGAGATACCTGGCTGGGGAAAACCCCACAAGCTGATTTCGCCATCCAGCGTGGGAGGAACACTACCACTTCGCGCGATAAACCGTGCCCTAAACTTTCGGCCCTAACGCCCTTCGCAGTCGAGCCCGAACCAATCGACAAATGAGCGAGCGAGTCACCTTGTAGACGCAGATGATGTAGCCGGTGGCGGCGGAGCGCGGGCGCTTGCTGCGGGGCTCGAGGGGCGGCCGCGCGATGCTCGCCACCTCGTTGAAGAGGTCGAGCGTGTGCGCCGCCGTGTAGCGGGTGCTGCGCGGGTCGAACTTCTTCAGCGACGCCGCGCGCAGGTTCTTGAAGAAGTCCAGGGGGTCCGTGTTGCTCTTGTTGATCACGTAGTACGAGATGAATGGAAATTGGGCTGCCAACAGACGAACGAAAACAATTATGATGGACATGGTGGGGAAATGAATGGTTCTGACGATTTTCAGGAAGTTAAAAAAAAAGAAAAAAGTTAGAAATATACGTTTTTCAACAATTCGCGATTTGGCAGACAACGAAGCATATTTAAGACATTTTCTGAAAATAGTGGATTTCATCTCTGTGTTCTCCTTTGGCTATAGGAAGTCACAAACTTATTTTTCATTAAGGAATATTTAATGAGGAAAATAACGTTATAACACAGAATGAAATTGCGTGAAATGTGTCAAGGGGGTGATGGTACGCTAATGAAAAAATCGTAAATAAAAGCGAATACAAAAATTTAGGGTTTTGAGATAAATTTAATCCATTTGATGGATAATTAATTGCGTACAATTAATTAAAATCAGTTACAATATTTTTCAATCTCCGTTGCTTATCCCAAGTAACACACAGTATTCTCTACAATAAACAACTCTCCTGTTCATTAATCTCCATTCATTTAATCAATTAAATACCTAGGCCTATATATACATACAAAAATTAATACAAAATTAACTTAGAAATACCAAATGTGTGTGAAGCATGTAATCAGAAACTCCATCAACTTTGTTCTCTTGTAACGAATCATAACCCCGAAAATACAGTGCTATTAAACAAATCCATTCTCCGCCCACTTCTTTTTCATATACCACTCTCTCTTCATATGTCTGAACTGGGATCATTACGCAGCCTCCCACATAAATAAGATTCAAAATAAACAATTCAAGTGCTTTGCTTTCAACGCTTCAGAGTTTATCACGAACGCAGCCCTACGTAAAATCAATAAAATAACGAATTATTCATACCTCCCACAATTTTGACAGTCAAAAATAACTGGACTAACCTTCTGGCGTTCTTCTCTACTTTCAACAAATGAGATATAACAACAATTTTAATCATCTCCCAGATATACTGTGGTGGTATTAAATGAATTTCCCCACTCTTAATATGTCAACATAGGATAAACCATCTGTAGAGCCGAAAGGCTAAAAGATGTTTTGGGCTGTTCAAAATAATGAAACGATTGCTAAGCTCCAGTTGTAAGACATTCATCAATTTTTCGAAACGAGTCCCATTTCATTAAACAGAAGAAGTTTCTAAATTTCGAGTAGTTGCCAGCAGAACACTGTGAAAGTCTCGCCTTGAACAAGCGCATTCGTTATCACAATTATCACGTCCTGCATCGCTTTATAGAATTTCACCCGCCTCGATTTGTCATTACATATACGCGCTTGACCTAAATGCAGTCGCACAGCTTCATGAGTGGACGACTTTGTAAAACATGCTAGATAATGCGCGGAGGCAGCAGAAGCTACTTAACCACCTCGAGTTGTAGATTTCCGAAGTCTCACCTCCGACATACATTTTCCTCGGAAAATCGTATCTGTACAGAATATTTTTCTTCTGCTTAGACATTAACCAGAAACTTCATCTGGAAAGGCATTCACAATATGCCATTATACAGTTGCCTAGACTTACTCGCACCAAACAATCTGATAGCGAACAAAGATATAAAATGTACGAAGTTTAATTATAACGAGAAAACACTATTTTCTCGCAAGAAGATAGTACAAATGTTCTACCTACGAGGGCATTTTGAGCCTGTGTTTCGTGCGCATGAAAGTAAAATGCGATTCTTACGTCTTTGATATTTATAGTATGTTTATTATTCATTGAAAAGGACACGCTCGCTTTTGTTTTATTTGATCCATCTGCTTTCTTTTTTCAGTTTTCACATAACATTGTTACGATTGATTTCTACAATGTTTACAATTTTGATGGCCCATTAACCACAAAAGTCACTGCAACCAATAACATGAAAAAATAAATACCAACGAGTAAATTAATACATCGTTACGCATTTCCTAGACGAATTTTCATGAAGAATCAAATTTAACTTCATCTATAAGTAATGCGACACATGAAGTTCATCTGTAGTTAGAATAAAATTACTTTATAATGGTCATTTACTACATTAGTACAACAGTTTCTATAATTTTGGTGTGATTATAACATAATTTCAGAGTGTTTAAAAAAAATCTACACTAATATTACGTCTCTCCAATATTTTTATGAATTTTTTGTTATTGTGAAGGTTGGGATTGGATAATCCCATTCATATGAAACTAGTGGCGCTACAACATGACGTACTTTCTTGCGATATTGCTAATAGCAATGAAATATCATAATATGATAATTTCTCTCAAACACTTCAATTACCGTTTGAAATAGTCTTAAGCAAATGAAGTGTGAAAAATGCATGTACTTTTTTTATTCAAACGTTTAAACAAAACAGCTTTCTGCTATTGAATGCAGTGTATTCACGTTCAACATAAATGTACCAACGATGCGTGTTGCGTATTTTAGCTGTAAATAAAATTATTAGTGTATATTAACACGAACGAACTGCGGCCGTTATTATCGCCTTCAGTTATCAGTGAAACGTTGCAACAATGTGTTGAAACACGCAACAATGACTGCTTATTCGTATGTGACTGTACCATTCTGTTAAACAAATTAGCATTGTTAAAACCGCTGGCAAGTAAATGAAAATGGATACAAAATTTAAAAATTAAGTATAATACTGTTATATTCATCCAAAATACTCGTTTTTTACGCGTATTGCTCTTCATTCCCACATCATATTATGCAAAGCGAAATCATCTATTCGTTTTCACAATTAACTCAATTAAAGAAATCAATTCAAAATAGGTTTTAAATCAATTATAAATGATTAATTTGTAGATGTATAACAAAAGCTCGAATGTAAGAAACAAAGATATATATGAAATAATATTCAAATTCTGACGTACATCCTACTGGAATTATTTCTATTACATAGACGAAGCGCAGTTAATTGGCAGCGAGCTGTTATGTTTGTCACGAAAGTACACAAAAATACTAATATTTTCACAAAATTCAACATGACCTGATTTGAAGATCTGTTTTTTAGGAACACATTTCATTTAAAAAATGTATCTTCACAATTGTAGTTGTAGGAAGACACCGAAATATTTTTTTTAATTTTCGAAAAATCAAGGTTTCAACCATTATGAGATTTGTACCATTTTCTTAAAAGTCATTTAGACTATCGAACAACAAAATTTCATTAAAAACGGTTGAGCAATTTTTGAAAAAAAATTGTTTGAACAAAATAAGGAAATTGGTCGCTACTGGTCTAGATGTCTATACGACTTTATATAACAAAAATAATAATTAAGAATTGTCTATATTTCATTCAAAATTAAGTGAAAAATACTCAAATGTTCGAAAAATTGTAAATGACCTTCTTAAAAATGTATTTTTAAGGAACAGATTTCATTAAGGGGAAAATTTTTATCTTTAATATTTTAGTTGTCGGGTAACGCCAAACAAATGTGATAATTTGCAATTTTCGAAATGGTGGAGTTTTTAATGAAATGAGACCTGTACCATTCTGTTAAACGTCCTTCACACTACCCATCAACAAAATTTAATCAAAATCGATGGCACCATTTTTTGAAGATTTAGAAAATGTCCGAGGGGGCTCCGTGTAAATTAAAATATCCGTTTCAAATTTAAGGAACCACGACATCAGTTACATCGACACATGAATATTCCTTTTGGAGAAAATCGGCTGAACGGTTTACCTGCTACTGTTGATCACAGACGGACAGAGGGACAGACGAAAGAACAGACTGATGACGGACAGACGGATGGACAGAGAGATGGACGGACAGACAGACAGACAGACGGACAGACGTTTTGCCGTCAGTCGATTTTTCAGTATCAAGCATCCACAAAACATGGATTCTGGCTACACGTGTTAAAGGATTATCTTTTCTAAAGTTAGCATCTTTATTTATCCCCTTTTTCGCTATCAGGGCCCCGTAATAAGAATTTTTCTGCAGAAAATTCGCCGTTTTGTGCGCAGCATTACATAAACTTTTTCTTCTTAAGAAGTACCTTAAGTACCGTAAGTACCTACTTAAGAAGTATCTTCTTAGATCATGAAAGTAAAAGGAAGAGAAGCGATGAGAGCGGAATGTTAACATGGTCGGTATTCGTTCATTTCATTTTGATAAGCGTAGTTGACTTGTCAGTAATACGTCATTGTTAACGAGTTTTTTAAAAATTGATAGAGGCGATTAAGTAATTAACACTGTATCATTGGAGTTATTGTTGTGGTCAATTTAATCGAAAATCCCCGCGTGTCGTTTGTTTTTGAGGTATTTTGGAACCTCTGTTAGTGACGTGAGTTATCTGGGTCCCGACAATCTGGGCCACGTTCCAGACCTTGTCTACCGTTCTGCCTCGCCCGTGTCGAAATGCGCGAGGTGTTTAGGTGCTACCTTGGAATAAAGGTTCAACTGATCGTAGTTGGATCTAGAGCTTGATGAATGCTGCATTCCTCGTGTGGCCTGATCTCGACGCCGACCTCATTGGATTGTGTAGGTTTTGTCAGTCTTACGCAACTCAGGGCACACAAAAGTTATGTATAAGCAAGGTCAAGACACGTCCTTGAAGATAAAGGGGTCAAGGGAGAGTTTCCGTTGTGGTCTTTGGCGAAAGTTCATGGCTCAGAGTTACCCAGGGCAAGGCATAAGGTCAGGTCGATACATCGTCACAATTCAATCCCACTTTAAGAAAATGAGAAATCAGAAGTGTTGGGCGGGCTTTAAAAAGAAAACTTCGGTGGAACATCATGAGAATTCTAAATAGGCGAATCTAACGACGTGATAATCATATGTTCATTTCGAATTGAATCTTACAAGTGTCTAAAAGAGATCATTAGGTTCAAGTAGTTTGATTATTCACAAGCGCGGTAACGTGAGTTCGTAATTACTAATGAGCACATTTATCATGAATAATGACCAATTTCTTGCAACAGAATAGGTCATTTATAATGCTAGTATACAAAAAATATTTTTTAAGTAACAGCATTTTCAACATTTTCTGTTGTAAGAAATCGTTCATAAAAGGGCATTTTTCGACACAAATGATTACGTTTTATCATTTACGGCACGAATGATTGCGTCATCACATATTCAGCCAATAGCAGCGAGAGAATCGTAAGGAGATAGCTGTAAACAGCTGACCAACGTTTACTCCCACAGATGACAAATAACCCGAGACGTCACAAGAAAGCCGTTTCGTAATTTTCTCTCTTGCAATAGATTGATTTTCTTAAAATTTATAATGTTATACAAAAAATAGTGTATGCAACACGTTTATAATGTTGCTTAATTGCATTCGTATAAATTTGAAAACTCGCTCCTAACGTCGTTCCTTTTCAAAACAATGTACTGATGTAACAAAGCTTAACATTATAAACTAACTACATAAACTACTATTAATAATAATATTGTTCTTTAAAATTATTATTAACTTCTTATTCTGAATCTGATTGTTCAGTATACTTGTATTTTGTAAACGATTGCACGTACAACTTCTCGGATTTTGATAATGGTGTGTCTAGTAACTTACTTTTTTTTTGTAATTGCGTCACGACACAGCATTCTTGATCTTTATAAAGCAATAGTACAGTTACGTATATCACGGTTTTGTGGTAGAGAGTGGATGCTGAACGGATAAGTTTCAAAGTGTGATTCTCATAAGTATTACGGAAAGCAATTTTGGGAAACGTTTTCAGTTTAGGAATTAAACGCTAGTTGTAGCCACATATAATTTTAAATATCAGATATGCGGGAAATTATGAGACTTACAAAAAGTTGTGGAAAGGTCCAAAACGAATTTGTAATTCATTTCACAGGCCATTAACTCATCTGTACATTTTTAGTGGAAAATGAATAACACTATACAAATGAATAACCCACAAATCATCGTTCAACGTAGGAGATAGTAGGCTCGACGCTTTAAATGTGACAGTGCTGATTGTTAACTGAAACTGTGACATATAAAGTGCATTAAATCAAACCTGAGATAATCATAACGTCTCGAAATATTATTTTTTGTATACTAGCATTATAAACGACCTTTTATGTTACACGAAATCATTCATTATTGGGTATTTTACGGCACATAATATAACGTATTATCGTATTATGGCACGAATGATTGCACCATCACAAGTTCAGCTAATTGCTGTGGACTAAGGAACAGCCGACCACCGTTTTCTTACACAGATATTAAATATCCGAGACGTCACAAGAAAATTGTTTCACAAAATGAAGTTTGATTCTCTTATAAATTTATAATGTCATACAAAAAAAATTGAGTAAGAAATTCGTTTATAATATTGCTTTATTGCTTTCGTACACATTTGAAAACTCGCTCGTAATGTCGCTCCTTTTCAAAACGTGCACTCGTGCAATGAAGCTTACCATTTTAAACGAATTCCATAAATTACTATTGAACGACTAAAAACATACCCACAGCATTTTATATAACTATAAATTGGTGACATTATGGACCAAAACAGCAGTTTGGCAGTTCACGTATTTCTCTCAATTCATCATACCAACGAACTCTATTGTTGTTTAGAAATAAATTAATTAGGAGTGACTATGAGAACAGTTTTGGTTAATGATGGTAAGATTAATAAGAGAGAAGGAAACAAGAGACAGAAATACTACAAAATATTCAGTGAATCTTCTACATGTGAGATCTCTTCACCTTGAATTCCTCAAAAATCGTATTTACACCCAAGATAAGAGAATACGTGCTTATAACTATTTTATTGTTTCAGCATCCATATCTACTTGTGTTCAGGCAACGCCTAGGATTCGAAATGTGGAAGGTTGACTGTGACATCCCAGGTTCGAATCTGGCTAGGCATCAGACTCTTGTAACATATTCCCACCCCTCTCCCACAATATGGACTGAGAGGGAGGACAACCCATGCCTTCCCCTAACACCCACCATTCGTCAAGAGAGGCCAACAGTGGAATGTAATAATAAATTTGGAGTAAGGGGCATTCTGAAAATTAGGTTTACCGGACATTCGGGAAAGTTTCAAGGGGGTAGTCCGGGGTCTACGTAGTTTAAAATAATTTGGAGTTCTGCTCACTTTCTGAAAACAGAAAGATCGCTGCTTGCTCATGGAAATGAGGCTCACTATTAATAGACAAACATCCATTAGAGAAATGAAATAATAAAATTGGTGTAGGTGAAGCCTGAAAATTAAGTTTTCTGGATATTTGAAACACTTTTAGAGTTCAGGGATTCTAGATCCCTAAAATTCGGAATTGGCGGCCACTTCCCGCAAGTGCAAAGTGCGCAGGTTGGTCGCGGGACTGAGACTCACTATTAATAGACAAACATCCATTACAGAAATGTACTAATAAAATAGGTGTAGGTGAAGCCTGAAAATTAAGTTTTCTGGATATTTGAAAAACTTTTAGAGTTCAGGGATTCTAGATCCCTAAAATTCGGAATTCTCGGCCACTTCCCGCAAGTGCAAAGTACGCAGGTTGGTCGCGGGACTGAGACTCACTATTAACAGACAAACATCCATTACAGAAATGTACTAATAAAATTGGTGTAGGCGAAGCCTGAAAATTAATTTTTCTGGATATTTGAAAAACTTTTAGGGTTCAGGGATTCTAGATCCCTAAAATTCGTAATTCCCGCCCGTGCAAAGTACGCAGGTTGGTCGCGGGGCTGAGACTGACCGTTCTTCTCCATGTTGGAGAGCAGCATGCCCTCGATCGCCGTGTGCGCCGAGCCTATTTCCGAGAGCAGGTCGCTGGCCGCCGACTTCTGCTGCTGCAGGGGCTTCGCCAGCGGCGACTCCATCACGGGCTCGATGGGCTCCAGCGGCGACATGAGGTGCAGCAGCACGCACAGCTTGGGGTCGTCCACCTCCAGCACCGACAGGAAGCTCGGCGACTTCTCCGTCAGGGGCATCTGCGGGCACGGGACATCGCGTGGAATTAATTCGGATATTCTCCCTCGTGAAATCAAAACAAATAGTTATCAACTACTCACACAAAATGTTCCAATTAGCGTGGTGTATTTTAAAAAGCTTATAGGTTTTCCTATCTGATTTTTCTTATCCCTTCTCCCTACTGGCCAGTTATAAACTGTGACTCGTCTATCTTAGGAGGCGGTATGCGTCGATTGCTCTGTCGATGTCCAATAAACGGCGTGTGTACTATAACCTCACCTCTTTGATTATAACATAGCTTTCGGTAATTTTCAATATTTGAAGTATTTTGGAAATTTGTTGAACATAATTTAATTCGTGGAATAGCCCTATTAAATACCACTCAAATTCTCAGATAAATTCCATCCTCTCTTCGCGAGTCGAAGATTTATCGTGGCATTAACTATGATAATATCTCTAAAATTCTTGTTTGTTTGTCTCTTCTTTTATATTTATATTAGGATAGGGTTTCCAATACATTAAAGACAACCAACTGCATCGTATTATGAATACGTTACTTTTATTTTCCTTCGCAACGTTTCGCAGTCAGAAGTGACATTAATTAGAGTGGTCTCTTAGTTCAATAATTTATGAAGTTTAAATTGTTTTATCTATTTATGTATTCTAGCCCAATATATTTATGTTCTATTAATTAGTGGAAGGCATTGAATTTATTACAGATTGTAGTTGATAATAGTCACATCTGACTGCGAAACGTTATGAATGAAAATAAAAAGAACATGGAAAGTTGTTTGTGTTTAACATAATAATTATTTATACCCAATTATTTGAATTTTTTCTAATTTTGGGTAATGTTAGCTTTCTCGTTTATTCATATGTGCTTGTTTTAACACTGACCTTGAACTCTCGCGCATCCTGATCCGCGAAGGAAAGGTGTAAAATATGTCGATAAAAGAGAAGTGAGGCAGAAGTGTTCGAGGAGAAAAAAGGTAGGAGCCAGAGAAAAAAACGAAAAGAGAAACGGAATAAGAGATAAATAGGTGAAGGTAAAAGAAGAGATCAAGGAGAAAGAACGAAAGAAGGAAAATAGGAATAAAAGGAACAATTAGGGGAAGAAAAAGAGCTGCATAAAAGATGAAAAAGAAAAAAAATGCGAATGAAACATAAAATTTGAAGAAGTGATAGTATGTAGAGGATGGAAAGAAAGAGAAAAGGCACTAAGAGAAAAGGAAAGTTTTGACACACCAAAAAAAAAAAAAAAAAAAAAAAAAAAAAAAAAAAAAAAAAAAAAAAAAAAAAAAAAAAAAAGCATGAAAATATTATTCCTAGAAAACAACCGTAGAAGATTAACGGTACATGTATCAAATTGATGTAAAATTCCTCAAAAATATACCTCTAGGTTAATTTCCTCATATCCCACATACTTTCAGTACTATTTGACGTCCTGTATTTTTTTAAAAAAAATGTTCATTAGCAGTGGGGAGAAAACATTCGGTATTTGGTAACGAACATGTTGAATTGTTTCCTGGAAGCGAAGTGCATTGGAGAGGCACGCAGCTCTGCATTGCGATGCTTTTTCACGGTGATTTTACGCCGTGTTTTCTTTTCGCGATGTAAACAGGTTTAATAGTTGCAGTAAACGTGAAGTTTTAATGGAGTACTTACTAATGTCATCCCACACAGTTTGAAACGCCCCCTTAAAACTTAATTGGTGACTTGACTTCGTTAGAGTTGCCAGCAGTCTTAAATGACCATGACTACCATATGGGTCTTCCAACGTGGGTAGTAAAAACGTTACTTTCATGTTTAGATTCGTGAAATATATTTTCTTTTTAGTATTACGAGAAAATTAGATTCATTACGCAACAGAAATTTTTTATTGTATATCACATTACGTTATGAAAGGTATTGTAACAGTTTTTCTATTTATTAAAAAACTTGGAGGACGATATTGACGTGCTGTTTTTTCTCAAGAGACTTGATGTGAGTTTATCGTATTATGAGAAGCATCTAAGACAGAACTGAATTATCTGTAATATTCGCAAATTGGATGAAGCTAAATGCGTTTATCAAAGCTAGTATTTTTCAAAATAAGTGTTTTAAACAACTACAAGTCACATCTCTTCATTATTCATAACGAATTTCACAAAAGTTGAAAAATAAAATTATCAGTTGGTGTACTAGAAAAATACTATAGTAAGAAGATAAGGCCTTATTACATTATTTTTCAAACCAACATTTTGCCACGGAAAACAAAGAAATGCATATAACCTAGCAATCTTATAGCCTGTATGATTTAGGGGAGAGAAAGAGCAAAATGTAGTTTCGTTACTTATTAGATCTGATGTCAGGCTTAAAAAATTGTATATTTGTAGACATGTTTAATCTATAAGAGCAATAATATATTAGAGATAATATTTGTGACAGCTGTTTTCAACGTGTAAACAAAAGTGAGAGATTACAACCATTTTATTTATGCTTAATTTTTATGAATTTGATTACTTTATGTTTCCAGGTGCGTCAACTGGAACCCCCCAACCAGGTTCGTCACGTGGTTGTTAATCCCGTAAGTGAAGTTTTTTTTTTATCAAGGGTTGTGACAGTTTTATGCCTTCGCGCGATTGTGATATCCGGCACCGACGTACTTGGAGACTTTTGGCTTTTACCCGTTTAGAGAAATGTGAACTACTTTCTCATTTGTCATGTTGTGATCTAAACTGTGATGTGACCGAACTGAGACAAATGTAAACGAAGGGAATTATAGAAAATCCAAAGAAAGTTTGTGGTGCACTTTCAATGGCACTCCATATAGATTCTGTCCCAATTTGGATCAATCCTTGACAAGTGATTTCCTCCAAAAAGTAGCGTTTAAAAAAATAATTTGGTTATGTGTTTAAAAGCTTACAATTACTTCGATGTTCTCTAAAAAGAAGAAGAATTATATTTTTAATTTTAATGCCAATCGTAAGGCGAGTTCAATAAGGTGCAGATTACAAAAGTTTTATAAAAGGGTCAATATGTTATATATTTTCTAATATTGTTTTTCGCATCGTAATTGACGACAAATTTGAAGACCATGTTCGTTCCCCAAACAGCAGATTCTGCTAACGGCAGATATGACTATTTAAAAAAAGTGATCTAAATGATTACTGCTTTTTTTTGTTATTTAAGGTCGCATCATCTTCTAGGTCAATAGTGACCACTATTGCGTGTAACAGTATGGTAACTATGAGGATGACACTATATGATGATGATGATGATGATGATAGTGGGTGAAAGGGCGAACACAATACAACCATGCCTCGAACCCGCGACCTTTCGGTCCGAGATCGCTACGGCACTACTGCCTTGGTGATCTCGGCCATCCGGACCGGCATTATTGCTTTTGTTTCGACTATATTTCGCCAAAAAAGCAGTAAAACTGTTACATACACTTCATTGCCTTCTGGAACAAAAGTTTCTGTGGATTAACTAAGTGAATAGAAACACGGCATATAATGGGGCAATTAGTGGACAGTTTTGTGTTCAGAAGGGTATTTATAGTAATAATACTCAGTAATATTTACTACAATATACTCGTAACACTCAATAATATTTCCCCCACGCATATACCACACAATAAAAATGTGTGCTTTTCGTTTCGCTTTCACCCTTTGTTTTTAATTGGTACCTGGAAGAATTCCAGGTTGACCAGCCATCTCTAATGGATCTCGGGCAAGGTTACGGCCAATGTCTCGGGGCCATTCTTGTCCTGTGTGGGCACCGTACCAAGTCGACATAGGTTTATCATTACGAAGGAAGCTCTTGTTATTTTAGAACATTTATTCATACTTTATTCACATAATCCGAAGAAACAGAATTCGGAATAATGCCAATTTTTCATGATAAAATTTACTAATGAATATTTAACAATACAGTCCATTCTTGTGTGTTAGAAGAAATCAAATGTCCACATTGGGAAAAATCTAATATTAAATTATTGTTTATCTTATTGTTGCTATTAATTATTATTATTGTTATTATTATTGTTATTATTATTGTTATTATTATTATTATTATTATTTTTCTCCCAAGAGTCGGCTTTTTTAAAATTTCTTCGGCAATTCCAGCAAAACAATTCCTCGGATCAAAACCTAGGGAACTAACTTGCACACGCACGCACGCATACACCAACCCCCCCCCCACACACGTTCGTACAAATTCTCGGTGTCATTCTCTCAAAAAGTCGGTGTGTGTCCACACACTTGCACATATTAATACACATACACACACAAAGATACAGATTGAATATAATCCGTGTCTGGGTTGGAGTTCGAACCCTGACCCTTGGTACAAGACATGATGATGATTCGATGTCTTCGCCCACTAGAACCGGTGTCCCAATGACTCGGCCATTCATCAAATAAATTTACAAAATACTTCGTCATCTAGAACGCGCTATATTTTGTTATCGCACCTCGAAACCACGGTGTTCTTAATGGAAGCGCGGAGGACATTTCCGATCCCTAGAAAAATCGTACAAAATCAACGTATGTATTCCGAGATATGTAACATATACAGTATGTATTGAGAGTTGCGTAACGGAGGTTCCGAGATAGTAAATTTGCAAGGTGTTTCTAAAAGATGACAGGGCGGGATATGCGGGATTACTAGACGAATTTAAAGAAAAATAAGTATCTTTCAATTCCAACAACAGTTATTGTTAATATATAGCTGGTTTTGCTTTGGGATTTCGAATATTGGGAGATTCCAAGTAGATTACCTCCTTAGACATTGTACTTATTATTATTATTATTATTATTATTATTATTATTATTATTATTATTATTATTATTATTATTACTGGAGCCTGTTCAGATCCCGTTGAGGACTAAGGCTTCTTGCTTTATGCGGGGTGAAATCATAAGGTTGGTTATAATTTGCCTAGTTTTTATTATACATTATACCTTATTATTGTAGTGTGTGAATAAACATACCTCAAACTAATTATATATTATTAGACACTTCACTGGTATTATAGAAGAATCTTCTAAACACTTCAACAATCACTAACCATTTCAAGAGTCTTGTAAAGACTTTACTAATATTATATACAAGAATTTATAACAATAAATACTTCACATGTTTCGTCCTAGTTCTTCCAATTTCTTTTGTCTCGTGCCGGTCAAGGCCAAACGAGATCTGCTGCCTTCCGTAGGTTGTCGGCTCATGCAGTGAGCTGTCTGCCTGGATTCCTCCATCCAATTAGCGGGTTCCAGATGGAGTTGTGGAGAATGCCCAGCTTTGCTGGTTTAGCCTAATGTCATGTCCTCCCCATCTCCATTTCTGTCGTTCAGCTTGTAAAACGGTGATTTTGGTGTTAGTTCTCCCCCCTTAATGTTGCCCTTAGAATTTTATCTTTCATCGAAACATGTAAAATCTTTCTTTTCATTTTGTGTTGACGGCGTTAAATCAATGTGTTTTGAGCTATTGTTAAATGCTACAAGAGACAAAACAAGACAAAATTTCTTTTTGTCTAAAAATACAAAAGAAATCTTCCAGATTTTTTCTAAGATAGCAAAAATATTTAAAAAATTTTTGTCTGTCCGTTAAAGAGTGCATTTAGTTTGCCAAATAAAATTATAATAATAAACATTATTTTGCGCAAATTCCATTCTTGATCCATGAATTTTTAATTGTTATTTGTTGGTCATTCGTCATTACTTCAGATTTGGCGAAATTTATTTGCAACGTACATTCATGCAAGTGTTATTTAGGGCGGATAATAGTTTTCTAGTGATTTGGCTGAAGTGGTGAATAATTGGATATTAGCTATTCATAAATAATTATTAGAATTAGATATTTATAAATGAATATTACTATTTTGGTATCAAGTTGATTTCATTTACTTTGAAATCAATTACTTTGAGACCATTCTTCAAAATACAGAATAAGGAAAAACATTAGGAACATACACATCTTTACTCTTAAAAATACAAGAGAAATTGAGTAAGAAATAAATAAACGTAGTATACTGTATGTTCCACGAAATTTGTAACGCTTACTAATGACTGCGTTTTGTCGTATGATTCTTTCTACATGGAAATCTCTGTAAATTGAAATATTTCTACCAATAATTTTGTTTATAATGTGAGTGATCTCTAAAGCAGATTAAGTGCAGTTCAGGTGTGATGGAAAGGTTTCGTTTTCAACAATTATATGAAATCTGCTTGATGATATATTTCATGGAAATAAATTGTTTTGCTGACTTTTTTCTGCAGCTGGTTTGGCTTCTTGTTTGCTTTTCTCCAAATGGAAATTCGATTCCTGCCTCATATTTACCGCCAGAAACGTTGCAAAAGAATAAAAAAAGTTAACGACTTTTCGTGTTTGTTCGTGATGAAAGTACATTCCGCTCACCGTATCAAGGGGAAATGTGCGGCTAGAAAAGAGTTTCGTGTGTCTCAAGCAAAGCAAGAAAAATTTAACGACCGAAATTGCCATATCTCCCGTTATGTTTCTGCGGAAATGAAGGTCTTCAATTTTGTGGAGAGAAAAGTAGTATGAAATAAGGTTTACCGTGCTAGATTTCTTAATGAAAAAAACGGGAAGAATTACATTAACTGAATTCAGTTTTCATAAGAGAAGCGTAAATATTTAGTTAATATTATAATATTGAATATTAAATTGGTTATTTTGGGACACATTTCACGAAGGAGTATTTCGTGTTGAAATTTTATGACATGTACGTGTTTATAACACAGCCTTTATACGTACAAACATGATGGACATATTCAGACATATAAATTTTATGTATAAGCATGTTTTGGTACGCTGTAGATCAAAAGTAGGTAGTAGGTACTACCGATATTTTCATGATGAGAAATGAAAGCTAAATCTGTAAGATATAAGAAAGGAAAAATTCAGTAGAATATGTTATATCAATTGCCAAAAAGAAATATTTTACTTCTTTAAAAACAATATCTCAACTTAATGGCCAGAACATAAACGAAATACTGATATATTGACATTATATAACTTGTAACCGCTCCTTTGTCCATTAAATTTTCCAGTCAATTAAGTAGGTCTGTTTAGTCAAAACAGTCGTTTCAAAGTGTCTCTATTGTGTAGCTTGTATCAAATGCACAAGAAAAATATATGCATTAAAACAATGACGATTTTAATGCAAAAATACTGAAACGTCTGCCAGCGCCTGACTATGATGTGTATGATTACTGTGCAGTGCGGTATCAAGCAAGTTATTAATTCATTTTCCAATTTTTATTGAGTGATCTACAATAATTAATTTTATGGCGGCCAAGGTTTTACTGCATTGCCTGCAGATGGCAGGAAATCATTTATCTGCGAAACCCGAATTCTTGATTTTTCCATCCTTGTCGCATGTGATCTTCACTCTAAAAGCGATCATAGTAACCGGTGAATAATTCGAGTCATTTGACGTTAAACATTGGTTTGCAATTTCAGGAGGAGGGTGACCTTTCGCTGAAGAGGAAAGGAAAAGTGTGTGAGAGAGAAAGAGAGTGACAGGAAAAGAGAGTAATAGGGTGAAGAGAGGATGAGGGTTGGGGAGAGAGAGGGGAAAGAGGGGACATGGAAAAATAAAAATTTAGCATATCCATCCTAAAACTTTAGTCGTGTGTCAAGTGAATGGCACACAAAATTTTAAGGTAAAAAAAAAAGTTTTTTCGTCTCGAGATACTCGAACGTAGAGGAGCTCTCCAGAATGACAGAATGATATGTTCATATGAACTCATTTTAACAATTAAGTGTACTCTTTTTTTTTTGTTTCTGTTCATTAGGGCGTACGATAGTCTCACGGTGACCATGGCCAATTGTTGGAGTCTTTTAAAAAAACACATTTCATCTAGAGATTTTAGAACGCTGTGGAACGATGAGACTGAAATTTCGCAATAATGTTTATATGAGTCCAGAAATGTTTATACGAGTTCAACAATTTTATGTATCCTCGCTCGAGATCAATAATAGTTGTTTCGATAAAAAGAGCCTCTGTCATCTCTAGATTCTCAAGCGCAGCGGATCCACCCAGACGAGCCCGTTTGAACAGTTACCTGTTTCAATTCGTCGTTCTTTTTTTTGATCTCTACTCTCGCTCGAGTTAGCTCGAGGTCAACGACGGTCACTTGTTTCGCAGTTGGTCGAAACAGCCAGCATCTTCCCCGAGGGCGTGGTGCCGGCGGCGTCCGCGAGGGGCGCTAGTTGGCTCGGCGGCCCGTTTAATTTCCTGCGGTGCCGCGGGGTCGCGCCCGCCGCCCCGCGGTCGCGTCGCGGGGGCCCAGCGTCGTTATGCGGCTTGTTTGGCCGCAAGCCGTAATTTACGGCGCAACTTCCACAATATACCGCCGGCTGAGCCGGTCCGCCGCCCCGCTGACGGCCGCGTGGGGGGAGGGCGCGCCGGGGAAGGGATAGGTGTGAAAGGAAGGGGGTGGGGGAGGGGCTGAATGCAATGGAGCTGTAGGGGTGCCGTCAATGATGTATATAATGGTGTAGGGGAGAGCGAAAGGACCAGTCTGCCCCGGGTGGCGAATTTTATTAACAAAATGAACGTGTTCGCCTTCGGAATCTTGAGTTGTTGAGTTTGCGAAGTTGTAATGTCGGTGCGGAAGAAAAGGGGCACATCTAAAAAAGTATTTTTGTCCGATAATAATTTTATTTCGAGCGGAGCGGTATCTTATCAGTGATTTATTTGATTAACCAACTGTCTCTTGAATTACTTTTATGGATTTTTTACTAATACAAATAGGCCATTTTCTAAACCTGA